TTCATGATTTTGTTGATTTGGGTCATTTTTCTTTTTGATTAAGTCTGGCCAGGGTTTATCAATCTTGTTAATTCTTTCAAAGAACCAGCTCCTAGTTTCGTTGATCTGTTCTACTGTTCTTTTAGTTTCTATTTCATTGATTTCTGCTTTCTGTTTCTCTTCTCCTGCTGGGTTTAGGCTTTATTTGCTGTTCTTTCTCCAGCTCCGTTAGGTGTAGGGTTAGGTTGTGTACTTGAGACCTTTCTTGTTTCTTGAGAAAGGCTTGTATTGCTATATACTTTCCTCCTAGGACTGCCTTTGCTGTATTCCAAAGATTTTGAACAGTTGTTTTCATTTTCATTTGTTTCCATGAATTTTTTTAATTCTTCTCTAATTTCCTGGTTGACCCATTCATTCTTTAGTAGGATGCTCTTTAGCCTCCATGTATTTGAGTTCTTTCCGACTTTCCTCTTGTGATTGAGTTCTAGTTTCAAAGCATTGTGGTCTGAAAATAGGGAATGATCCCAATCTTTTGGTACTGGTTGAGACCTGATTTATGACCTAGGATGTGATCTATTCTGGAGAATGTTCCATGGGCACTAGAGAAGAATGTGTATTCTGTTGCTTTGGGATGGAATGTTCTGAATATATCTGTGAAGTCCATTTGGTCCAGTGTGTCATTTAAGGTCTTTATTTCCTTGTTGGTCTTTTGCTTAGATGATCTGTCCATTTCAGTGAGGGTGGTGTTAAAGTCCCCCACTATTATTGTATTGTTGTCAATGTGTTTCTTTGCTTATGTTATTAATTGCCTTATATAATTGGCTGCTCCCATGTTAGGGGCATAGATATTTACAGTTGTTAGATCTTCTTGTTGGATAGACCCTGTAAGTGTGACATAATGTCCTTCCTCATCTCTTATTATAGTCTTTGGTTTAAAATCTAATTTGTCTGATATAAGCATTGCCACCCCAGCTTTCTTTTGGTGTCCATTAGCATGGTAAATGGTTTTCTATCCCTTCACTTTCAATCTGGGGGTGTCTTTGAGTCTAAAATGAGTTGCAGACAGCATATCGATGGATTAAAAAAAAATAAGACCCAATCTGATAGCCTGTGTCTTTTGATTGGGGGCATTTAGCCCATTTACATTCAGGGTAACTATTGAAAGATGAACTTAGTGCCATTGTATTGCCTGTAAGGTGACTGTTACTGTATATTGTCTCTGTTCCTTTCTGGTCTATGTTGCTTTTAGGCTCTCCCTTTGCTTAGAGGACCCCTTTCAAGATTTCTTGTAGGGCTGGTTTTGTGTTTGCAAATTCCTTTAGTTTCTGTTTGTCCTGGAAGCTTTTTATCTCTCCATTTTCAATGACAGCCTAGCTGGATATAGTATTCTTGGCTGTGTATTTTTCTCCTTTAGTGCTCTGAATATATCATGCCAGTCCTTTCTGGCCTGCCAGGTCTCTGTGGATAGGTCTGTTGCCAATCTAATGTTTCTACCATTGTAGGTTACAGATCTCTTCTCCTGAGCTGCTTTCAGGATTTTCTCTTTGTCTCTGAGACTTGTAAATTTTACTATTAAATGTCAGGGTGTTGACCTATTTTTATTGATTTTTGAGAGGGGTTCTCTGTGCCTCCTGGATTTTGATGCCTGTTTCCTTCCCCAAGTTAGGGAAGTTCTCTGCTATAACTTGCTGCAATATACCTTCTGCCCCTCTCTTTCTTCTTCTTCCGGGATCCCAATTATTCTAATGTTGTTTTGTCTTATGGTATCGCTTATCTCTCAAATTCTGCCCTCGTGATCCAGTAGCTGTTTATCTCTTTTTCTCAGCTTTATTTTCCATCATTTGGTCTTCTGTATCACTGTCTCTTCTGCCTCATTTATCCTAGCAGTCAGAGCCTCCACTTTTGATTGCACCTAATTAATAGCATTTTTTATTTCGACTTGGTTAGATTTTAGCTCTTTTATTTCTCCAGAAAGGGTTTCTCTAGTATCTTCTATGCCTATTTCAAGCCCAGCTAGTATCTTTAAAATCATCATTCTGAACTCTAGTTCCGACATCTTACTAAAGTCCGTATTGATTAGGTCCCTGGCAGTCAGTAGTGCCTCTTGTTCTTTTTTTTGAGGTGAGTTTTTCCGTCTTGTCATTTTGTCCAGAGAAGAACAGATGAATGAGAGAACAAAATGCTAACAGGGTAACAGTGACCCCAGAAAAATATACACTAAACAAATCAGAAGAGACCTGAAACCGGGGGAAAAGGGAAGGAAAGAAAAAAGAAGAAAAAAAAATATTAAACATGATCAGGCTGGGGAACAGATCAGTGCCACACACTAGGTTTTGGGTGTATTTTGTGGTCTGTTAGAAGAAACTGCCTCCCAAAATTTTAAAGAAAGAAAAACTTGTATATACAAAAATAAGGGTAAGTATGATGAAGGGATGGAATATGACTGTAAAGATGAAAATTATAAAAGATTTTATAAAAGGAATTGTTAAGTTGGTTGAAGAAAGAAATTAAAAAAAAAAACAAAAACAAGGGAGAGAATGTGATCAGGCAGGAGACTAGAACAAGGCCATACACTAGAGATTTAGGGTATATCTCGGTCTGTTAGAAGAAAGTGTATCCCAAAATTTTAAAGAGAGAACAACTTATATATATACCAAAAATAAGGTTAACTGTAATAAAGGGATAGAATGACTCTAAAAATGAAAAAGATCTTTAAAAAGGACTGATAAGATGTTGGTTGAAAAAGGGAAAAAAAAAATAGAAAAAGGAAAAAAAATTTAAAAAATTAACTTTGAAAGACAAAAGAATCATAGGAAAAAAGCCATGAATTCCCCTAGTGCTGGCATTCTGCCATTCTCATTGACCAGTAAACTTGCTGTTGGCTGGCTGTTCTTGCTCATCTTCTGGGGGAGGGGGCCTGTTGCCGTGGTTCTCAAATGTCTTTGCCAGAGGCGGGGGCCCTTGCCGGTCCGGGCTAAGTCATCTGTTCAGATTTGCTCTGGGGAGCTTTTGTTCCCTGCAAACTTTCTGTACAGCTTTGGGGAACGGGTGTGAAAATGGCAGCCTCCCATTCTCTGCCCCGGAAGAGCCGAGAACTCGGGGCCCCATGCCTCAGTGAGCCCCCAGAGAAAAGCAGTCAATCACTCCCATCTCCCCAGTCTCCAGCTGCACTCCGTGCTCACCTGGCCTGTGACCGAGCATTTCTATCTCTGGCACCCAACCCCGTGTGGAGTCTCCAAACCCAGCAGATCCCTGCGGTGTGCTCGCACGCCGCTCCTCCCAGCAGATCCAGGGAGACTCTCCTTCCTTCCCTGGAAGAGCAGTGGCCCAACTGTGCCGCGGATCATGGTTTATGGCAGCCCCGAGCTGAGAGCCCACTCCTCGGCTCCATCTCTGCAGCCGGCTTCCCTGCTCTGATACCTGGGAGCTCTGCCACACTTAGGCACCCCCTGTCTTTCTGTGACCCAGAGGGTCCTGAGACCACACTGTCTCAGCGAGGGTTCCACCCCCTGCTTAGCCACTGGAGCGATGTCCCTCAGTGGAGCAGACTTCTAGAAGTTCCGATTTTGTGCTCCGTGGCTCTATCACTTGCCAGTAGTGGCTGATGGAGGCTCCCTCCCCCCACCGTCTATCTTCCCCAATATTGCCTTGGATTCACTTCTCCGCACATCCTACCTTCCAGAAAGTGGTCGCTTTTCTGTTCAGAGTTGCTATTTTTTTCTTCAGTCTCCTGTTGAGTTTGTAGGTATTCAGAATGGTTTGATCCCTATATAGCTGAATTCTTGGGACCAAAGTTAGGTCTCCTACTCCTCCGCCATCTTGCTCCTCCTCTCACATGTTTTTGAATATCCTCAATTAGAGTATATGATGGATAAAAATCTTGAGATTCAAACTCCAAGTATAATGAAGCCCAGTATAATGAAATGTAGTTAAACTACTGGGAGTTTAATTCAATTTGTAGTTCTGAAAGCAGGTTCTAATATTTTCCATTCTACGAAAAGAGAAATCTCTCTGCCCAAATTAAAAATGTAGGGAACACATCTTTAATTAAAATGCAAAAGTCTTACGGAAATTTCCAAATACACATTTTAATAAAAATTAGAAATTTCATATGCAATAAAAATCTGTCATTTATGTTAACACACACATATATTTGTGTAAGTAGAGAAAAGGCCTGAAAGGATAACATTAAAATGAAAACAGCAGTTACCTCTGGGACAGCAACTGTGAAGGAATGCTAAATGTCTCTCAGTAACAGTCTGAATTTTCTAGAAGAGATTCTATTCCTATATAATATGTGTAAAAGAAAATTTAAACTGTTCCTACTAGTGAATCACAAGTCTTCACTGCAGTAGAAATAACACATCAACCTGTTAAAATATACACAGCTTGAAACCTAGAGATGATAATGGCAGAAGCCACATGCTCAAATCAAATTTTTCCTGATTATTATCTTTGGGGCAATAATTTACAAAAAAAATTTTCAGGGTTGCTCTTGAGTTATTTAACAAATAGATTTAAGAAAAGATTTCTCAAAATGAGCGTTTACTAGTAATTTTTTCAACTTCTTTTCAATCACACAAATATTTTACCAGGAAGTTTATCACATGTTCTGAGTATTTAAAATACCTGTTTCCTGTCTAAGCCTACCCCCGCCAATGACAAAACCCTAACAAAAGTAGTTAAGTACCTAACTAGTACTGCCTTAGCACACTAAAAACATCATACACAAAATTAAAATAAAACTGGCAATGAGGAAACTATAACATAGGATAGGTAAAACATCAATATCTTTAAAATATAAAGTTCTGACAAATCCATAAGATGAATGGATTATTTAAAAAACATTACAAATAGCCAAAAAAAAACAATAGCCAAAATTAATCATTAAAATAAGATTTTTTTTACATCTAAATTTGCGTTTAGTTAAAAAAATGGTAATACCTATGCTGGGGGCGGTTTTCACTGGCCTCTGTTACACTTGTGTTGGCACAATATATTGGTGATTTTTTTTGGAAAGATTTTGTCAGAGCACAAGGAGGGGGAGCGGCTGGGAGAGGGAGAGGGAGAAACAGGCTCCCCGCTGAGCAGGGAGCCCGAGGTGGGGCTCGATCCCAGGACCCTGGGATCATGACCTGAGCCGAAGGAAGAGGCTTAACTGACTGAGCCACCCAGGTGTCCCTGGTACAGATTTCTGAAGGACAATTTGACAATCAGTAGTTATCAAAAGTCTTAAAATGCTTTTACTCAGTTAATACTTAGCAAATAATTCATTCCAATTAAGATTTCCACTTTAACTTATTTGTAAACAGATAGTTAAAATGAAAAGAACAGATATTTTTATGGTGCAGTTCAGATTTACCAAAGCCCAAACAGCAAGATTTCTCCAATTTCTCTCTCCAACTGGAAACGTGAAAAGAATCAAAGGGAGTAAATTAAACTCTTAGTGCTCCCGTGTGCTTAACTGCTGCAACCACCACAGGGGGGCAGCCTTCATGATACCAGAAGGTAAGAAGGGAATGGAGGGATGGAGTCCTGCTCCACCCGGCCCCCAAGCAAAGGAGGCAAGTGTCACTATATTAAAATCTCATGTTAGTACTTTCCTATAGTTTGTTCAAACTTCTTTAATTACTGATTTCAGATGGTCTAGGTGATACTCTTCTATGAAGGATTCTGCTTGATTCAAAGCTTTTATTTTCACCAGAATAGGAATTATTTCTTTGACTTCATCCCTGAAAAACAAAAGTTTGAGAGCCTAGTGAATCATTAGTTGTTAATCTGAAAAAATTTTAAACCCATATCTAAAATTATTCAGATGTTATCTTTTCCATGCAGTGTTCAAATATAGGTTATTAGGGGATGTATGCTGGCAAATTTTAATGTGAATGACTAAAAAGCAGTTAAATCTATCATCAGAAAACTGAGTTACAGTGTGGGGCTATCAGCTTGGTGGGAGCCTCTGTGGGAACATTTACCCACAGAAATGCTACAAATCTGTGCTTTTTATTTAAAATTTTTTTAAACTTTTGGAGAAGTGGTTTACCAGAACATTACTGTACATTTAGTGGTGTTAAGCCCCTAAACATTTGGTGCTGTTAATGAAACATCCAAAACAGATTCTAGTTATTGATGGGTAAAGAGCAGGCTGCAGACCTGTACCTGACACCTGCTGAGATTTTAAAATGCTTATTTTGGAAGAGATTTACATTTAAAAATATGAACTATTAGGCATGAGGTGTGAGTATAAAGTAGTGATTCCAAAGACTGCACATAAAAATATCTACTAATTCTAGAGTGGTAGTCTCCACAGACTTTTATTCTATTTTTAAAAGTACAAATCTAAAAATTGCTGAGTGTAAAAAAGAATCGTTGAACTGTGCGCTTATGGAGATATAAATATGCAAAATTACCTGAATTCACTTCTAGATAATTTATGTGCACACTGCAACAAAAACTGGATGAAGTTTTCTAGCTGGGGAATAGACGTTCTCATGGCAGAGTTTTGGAACCATTTTTCTGGTAAATATGCGGCTATCTGTTAATTAAAACACACGGTCAGGTTTTTTTTTTTTTTTAATTATGTTAATCCCCATACATTACATCATTAGTTTTAGATGAAGTGTTCCATGATTCATTGTTTGTGCACAACACCCAGTGCTCCATGCAGAATGTGCCCTCCTCAATACCCACCACCAGGCTAACCCATCCTCCCACTCCCCTCCCCTCTAGAACCCTCAGTTTGTTTTTCAGAGTCTATCGTCTCTCATGGTTCGTCTACCCCTCCGATTTCCCCCGCTTCATTCTTCCCCTCCCGCTACCTTCTTCTTCTTTTTTTTTTCTTAACATATATTGCATTATTTGTTTCAGAGGTACAGATCTGAGATTCAACAGTCTTGCACAATTCACAGCGCTTACCAGAGCACACACCCTCCCCAGTGTCCATCACGGTCAGTTTCTAATAACAGTTATCTAAGGCCTTTTGCTAACATCGAGTCCATCTCATTTAATCCTTTATGGTTATGGTAGAATAAATTTTGAGAATCTTCCTTTGTCAAAGTTTATACTTCTTAAAAAAATTGTATTTTAATGCCAAGAGCTTAAAATAGACTATTCTTTATGATTACTCTCTAGGGGTATTTGTAATACTATACTATTTGTAATTCCTATACTCTGTATTCCTAAACCATTAAATCTGTACAAATGCCATTTACAACTAAACACTAGAAATGCCTAGACACAGTCAACATAAATATAAAATACATTTTAGTATTATTTCATACTAAGAAATTGAGTGACCTAGCATATGATCTACATAAACAAATTATAGTTAAGGAATCCAGTAGAGGATTGTGAGATACACAGAATAAAAAAAATTATGGTTTTGATCCTTTAATACACTGCTTTAAATGTTCATGGCAGCATACAGAGTCTGTTGCATTCAATTTTTCTTTTGGGGGGGGAAGCACCAACACCATTATGCTAAAGGTAAAACATGATTTTGGGGAAAGTTTTGGTAAAAACAACGAAAAAAAACAAAACTTCCTCATAGCAGAAGAATAAAAGGAAAGAGAATGGGAGGAAGAAAAAACCTGAGATCATACTATGCAAAGAAATTCTTGGACAAATAGGTTATCCTACAGTTATTATCAAGATCAGTATTTATAAAAGTAAAAAGTTGGGAAAAATACACCACATATACATTATAAAGTATGTTAAATGAAAGTTCTGGAATGTACTCTTTCAAAAACACAGTTGAGGAAAAAAGATTTATCCTATTCCTTAATCACCTTTTTCAGTTACAGAAAAAATGCAGACACACTGACTGCCTAGGGTAGAAATATTTGTACATGCTTTTCCTTTTCTCTTGCTCTGTAACACATAACTCAATAAAATTTTCACAGAACTACCTAGCTTTCCCATAAATGATCACAGGATTTAAAGCCACACTGTCTTGGCATGGTTTTTTTTTTTTTCCTTAAAGATTTATATTCATTTGAGAGACAGCATGTGTGTGTATGGGGGGGGCATGCAGAGGGAAAGAACCCCAAGCAGGCTCCTTGCTCAGCAGGGAGCCCGAGGCAGGGCTCCATCTCAGGACCCTGAGATCATGACCTGAGCCACCCAGGTGCTCCTTGGCATGGCCTTCTAGCCACAAGCTGTGGAGAGAATGTCCTGCTACTTTTCTACTTCTGATAGTAGACTCATGGTCAAAGGGGACTAAACTGAACCTGAAATACATAGCATGGACGATGAATTCAATTTTGGGGGGAAAATGTAATTTAAAACTACATGATATAAAGACCATAGTCCAAAAAATCATGGCGGGTTAGGAATTGCTATCTAATGTCTTATGTTGTTTTTAAATTTATAAATATTTTTCCATACTCTTAAAAATGACTTTTATCTGCTGAATAGACAATGGATGGTTTTTGGATATTTAGGTTGTTTCCAACTCTCTATTATAAATAATGCTACAATAATATTCTTTGTACTAAAACTCTGATAAAGAAACAAGCCCCAGATAGTCATTTGCTCCTTACAACAGCAAACCCAAGACTTTAACTGCAGTTTCAACTCATCCCGGGAATGTCACTTTTTAAGAGTCAATCCCCAAATTTCTGGATGGGCGCTATAGTGAGGTCATCTGCATGACAAAAACCATGCCATTCTCCTCTCCCCAGTAAGACCTTGTCCTGGCCTGAAATAATCCTTTTCTTTTGCTAATAGCTTTCTTGTCTCACCCTCTTTCTTACGAAAGCCTTCCATTTTGTACAACTCCTGAGAGTATCTCTCTACTTGCTAGATGGAATGCTGCCTGATTCACAGATCCTTAATAAAGCCACTTAGATCTCAAATTTACTCCACTGAATTTTTTTTAAACAAATCTACATGTGCATCTCTGATTTTTAACTTAGGATAAATTCCTTGAAGTAAAATTGCTAAGTCAAGGGGTATGAACTTTAAAGGTTTGTAGCCATCATGCCAAAAGTCTCTAGAGTTCTATCCCTCATTCCAACAGCAAAAAGTGTTTCTCAGAACCCCAGCACCACCCATTCTAGGTGCCCCTGAAATAATGTGCTATTGTTTCCTCATTATGACAAGAATTAGGGGGGAAAAAAAAACTGGCCAGCATAACAGGTAAAATAATATCCTTACTATATTATTTTGCATTTCTCGGATTAGTACTGTTAACCTTTTCCACGTGTTTAGAAATTTTTACATATTTTTTTGGTGAATTTCCTGTTGCATGTCTTTTGTCCATTTTTAATTGGAATATCTGTTTACTAACTTTAAAGAGCTTTTTAAAAAGATGGATTGTAATCCTTGTATGGCTTATAACTTTTCTCCGTTTTCAACTCCCTTTCCTTTAAACTTTTCATTATAGAAAATTTCAGACCAACACGAGAAGGAGTAAGTATGGTAACCCCAATGAACCTATCCTCCAGGTTTAACAATAATCATTTTTTTTTTAAGATTTTTTTAAAATTTATTTATTCGACAGAGAGAGAGAGGGAACACAAGCAGGGGGAGTGGGAGAGGGAGAAGCAGGCTTCCCACCGAGCAGGGAGCTCTAGGCGGGGCTCGATCCCAGGACCCTGAGATCATGACCTGAGCCGAAGGCAGACGCTTAACGACTGAGCCAACCAGGTGCCCCTGATCACATAATCTTGATACCTTTTAAATGTTTTTTCATTCACTGAAGTTTTCTACTTTCATCAAATTGCTTACTTCATCATTTCGTTTCTTGCTTTTAAGTTCAAAAGGACTCCCTTACCATCAGATACATTTATCCTCTTAGTACAGTATTTTATAGTTTCATTTTTATACTGGTATTTAGTGAAAGTTGAGGATTTAACTTTCTTTTTATAAAGAGTTAACCAGTTGGCCCAGCTCCATTTATTAAATAATTTTTCTTTTCCCTGGTGATAATTCAAATCAGTATACTAATTCTTAAATACTGAGGGGTTGGTTGCTTTTAGGTTTCTCATTTTTTAATTATTCTGTTAAAAATAGATTTTAAACTTTTTATTTTTTATTTTTATTTATTTTTTTAAAGATTTTATTTATTTATTTGACAGAGCGAGACACAGCGAGAGAGGACCACAAGCAGGGGGAGTGAAAGAGGGAGAAGCAGGCCTCCCGCCGAGCAGGGAGCCCAATGCGGGGCTCGATCCCAGGACGCTGGGATCATGACCCGAGCCGAAGGCAGGCGCTTAACGACTGAGCCACCCAGGCGCCCCTAAACTTTTTTTTTTAAGTAATCTCTACACCCAATGTCATGACCCTGAGATCAAGAGTCACATGCTCTACTGACCAAGACAGCCAGGTGCCCCACAAAACAGATTTTAATAATTTTAAAAAATGATAAAATTACACTGACCTGGTCGCACTTTTTAACAACATCTGGCCCAGGTATGGCATTAAGAAGAGCTATAATAAGGTAACGATTTAGCAGCTTCCCTAGTCCTAGTTCTTGCAAGGTGTCATCTGGGAGGAGTCCATTCCAAAGAAGAATATTGTGGAAGAGCTAAAATAAAGTATCAAGTGAGTATGTAGCTGTTTCTCTAAAGGAAAACTGTAATAGTCTCCAACAAACATAAAACGTTGGTCAAACTATTTATTTGACAGAGACACAGCACCAGCAGGGAGAGTGGGAGAGGGAGAAGCAGGCTTCCCGCGGTGCAGGGAGCCAGATGTGGGGCTCGATCCCAGGACCCTGGGATCATGACCTGAGCTGAAGGCAGCCGCTTAACGACTGAGCCACCCAGGCACCCCTGGTCAAACTATTTTAAACTCATTAGAAGTATCAATTTTACAATCAATAGAAAACATTTCTAAACAAATAATTCTTTCCAACCTCCATATATTTGCTCATCCTATTTTTTTAGGACTACCACCCAAAATCCATCTCAAATAACTTCACTGGCGCCTTTCCAGATCAATAATCTTCCTCCTCAATTCATACTCCCAGAGACTGGGGCCATCAGGTGCAAGACCACAGGACCCAAGGACTCATGAAGGACTGCTGTTAAAGCCAGTGCCACTATTACTAATATGTGATCCTGAGAAACCGTTACGGCTTTGATATAGAAGATAAAAAATATAAGCTATTCTAATAAAATATTGGTTGCCTTCCTCTAAATCCATACCTTTCTGTGAATTTTATGGTGTTTTCCACTTTCTTTCCAGCACTGTATTTATTACTCTACCATGCAATGCTTTTCTATACTTTGTGTCATTATTTATGTTGCTCCCTCTTCCTGGAAAGTGTTTTCCCTGACTCAACTACATAACAAATATGGATTCACCCTAAGTTTGCTGAGGTCACCCAAGACCTAATTGTCAAATCCAGTAAACATTTTCAGTCTTTCTCCTAATTCCCTTGGGTGGCATTTAATACTTTGTCTTCACTCTTAAAAACCTTTTGCTTAGTTTCCATAATGCCACCCTCTTGTGACCACTCTGAGTTTCACAATAAATTCTAATGCTTCTTTGAAGACTTCACTCTCTCTGTCTGCCTCTTATGTCAGTGTTTCCCAAGGCTGTGTTCTTAGCCTTCTTCTCATGCTTCATCCCATCTCCTCAGAGGCTGTCACTCATGACCATGGCTCCAAATACTGCCTACATGTGGCTGACTCCCAAATCTCCAACTCCGATCTGTCTCCTACAATTCAGACTCTTGGATCTATATTTTTCCCCATAGCTCTCTTCAATTCACCATCTGAAACAGACCTTTATCTTTCCTTCAAAGCTCTTCTTCCTGTATCCCCTCCAAAGCCCTCAAAGAATGTCACTGTAAGTTACCAAGTTGCCAAAGTCAGAAACTTGGCTAGTACCCTAGTCTTCATATGCAATTATCGTTTAGTCATCAAGTCCTTTCAGTGCTCCATCCTAAGTATCTTCCGAACCCAACTTTTTACCATCCCTCCCTATTACCACTGACTTAGCAACGACTTCATCCTTTATCTTTTAGACTAGGAGTTGGCCAACTATGGCTTGTGGGTTAAATCTAGCTTGCTGCCTGGTTTTGCAGAGCCGGTAAACTAAGAATGGTTTTTATATTTTGAAATGATTGGGAAAAAAAAAAAGTAAAAGGGTATTTTGTAACATGTCAAAGTTAGGACACTGAAATTTCAGTGTCCATAAGTAAAGTTTTACCAAAGCACAGCCATGCTCATTTGTTTACATATTGTTTATAACTGCTTTTACACTATAAAGGCCGAGAGCTGAACAGTTCAACAGACATTCAAAGCAGAAAATATTTACTATCTGGTCCTTTACAGAAGTTTGATAATCTCTGCTCTACAGTATACTAGATTTAAAATAAAAATAATTTTGTAGTTTTTTACTTACCTTTACACCTGACCAGAACTGCCTTTCTTGGAACTTGGAATGTGGTGATGTTTTGTTTTCTACAGTCCTAATTTGAAACCGAGACAGGACAAAATGCAAACTGTTAATCTTTCAGAACCAGAGTTTAAAAAACTCAGTGTTTTTTTAAACCAACGAATTAAACCTTAACACATTAACAGAATGTAAATGGAGTGCTCTGATATCAAAATTACAATTCCATGTACACTTTGATCCAACAACCCCATTTCTGAGCATGCCTTCTGGAGGTATACTTGCACATGTACCAATGGCGGGTCTATAAAATTATTCACAGCACTGCTGGTAATGGTTTACCACTCACATGCTCACCAGTTACACTACATTATATGAAGGCATATTATGCAGCTTAAAGAATGAGGAAACTACTCTGGTGATGACATGATCTCAAAGATGTACTAAGTCAAAGTAAGGTACGAGACAATGGTTACAAATGCACTTCCTCTGCTATAAAACGGGGGAGGGGAGAGAAATAAGATTATAGCATATATAAGTAATTCTAATTGCATGAGGAAATTATGGAAAGGTAAAATTACTAACAGTGATTATTATGGCATGCATGTACGTATATGGAGGAGGAAGGGCAAAAACTGGATGGAGGGCAGGAGTGGGAGGAAGACCCCATTTTAAATATAAATTAAAAAATACATACTCAAACTTTTGAACCATATGAATAGATTTCTTACTTAAACATTCTACAACAAGCCTTAACAGGGCATAATTTTTACATGTAGGTATCTCTTCACAATTTAAATTAGCCAGAAAGCTTAGAAGTTCCTTTCTTTTCTCTCCACAAAAGCTCTTCGATCCTGTGAACACTCACTGGATAGCTTCAGTTCATAATCCACTACTATAAACTGATGCCTTCTTAGCAAATGTATAAATATGCATCAAATACCACTTGCTTCATGATACTGTATATAGAATCCTGAAGATTCCACCAAAACTACTAGAACTGATAAGTGAATTCAGTAGTCACAAGATACAAAATAAATATACAGAAATTTGTTGCATTTCTACACACTAATAATGAAGTGGCAAAAAGAGAAATTAAGAAAACAATCCCATTTATAACTGTACTAAAAAGAATAAAATATCTACAAATAAACTTAACCAAGGAGGTAAAAGACCTATACTCTGCAAACTATAAAACATGGATGAAAGAAACTGAAGACAACACAAAACACATGGAAAATTAATACCATTCTCGTGGATTGGCAGATCCAATACTGTTAAAATGTCCACACTACCCAAAGCAATCTAAAGATTTAATGCAATCCTTATCTAAATACCAACAGCATTTTTCATAGAACTAGAATAATACTAAAATTTGCATGGAACAACAGAAAACTCCAAATAGTCAAACCAATCACGAGAGAGAACAAAACTGGAGGTATCACAATTCCAGATCTCAAAATATACTACAAAGCTGTAGTCAGAACAATATGATACTGGCACAAAAATAGACACACAGATCAATGGAACAGAATAAAGAACTAGAAATAAACCCATACTTATATGGTCAATTGATTCTACATTAAAAAAAGGCAAGAATATTCAAAGGGGAAAAGATCATCTCTTCAACAAATCGTGCTGGAAAGCTGGACCACTTTCTCATGCCATAGATAAGAATAAGCTCAAATTGGATTAAAGACCTAAAAGTGAGACCTTAAACCTAAGAATCCTAGAAGAGAGCACAGGCAGTAATTTTTTTTGGCAACAGCTGTAGCAACGTTTTTCATCTAGAAAAATGTCTCCCCAGGCAAGGAAAACAAAAACAAAAAAACCCCCTACTTGTTTCCTAAAGTAAATCCACAATTCACAGACAGTTTCTAGCTTTCTGTGCCAGGCACTGTTCTGAGCATGCTCTTCATCTTCACAATGTCCTATGAGGTAGGCATTAATACCTCACTTTACATACAAAGACACTGATGCACACAAAGGCCCAAAGTCAAATATCTAGTAATGGTAAATCTGGGCTCCAGTGTATGGATTTAACCATTCTGTGATGCCCCCTGCTATGTTCTTAACATAAAAAAACTGATGTCCAAGTGTGCTAGGTATCATACATGGCATATAAAAAGTGAGAAATATTTTGTTGAAATCCAATTTGCACCTTAATAGGTGTATGTATGTTTGAGAGAACACTTAATATAGTTTCTTTTGTATTACATTCTTAATTCTGTGTTACATGATTAGCTATTTCATATAATCTAGAAATCAACAGCTCTTACCTCTTTGGATACAGAGGAATAAAAACATCATCTTCTATTGCTTTCTTCATTCTCACAACAACGGATTTAAGTAAATCCTATTATATAAAAATTTAAAAGCATCAGTGATGGCCACAGGTAGAAGTCTATTTACCATTTTAAAAGTATAGTACAAATTTGTATACACAGAATCAGGTGTTAAAATAACTATCAATTAGGTACAAGAGAACTTTATTCACCCATATTGGTGCACACAGCTGTAGCTAGTGCATTCTCATTGCTGTATAGCATATTCTGTCACATGAATACTAATGATGGGACATTCAGGTGGTTTCCAGTTTGGGGGCTATATTACACACAATATTGTATAAAAGTTCTTATACGTGTCTTTTAATATACACAGCCCTATATTTCTAATGGATATACACACAAGAATGTAATTGCTGGAATTTAGTTTATGTATATACATTCACCTTTGTACATAATGCCAAATTGTTTTCTGAAGCAGTGATATCCCATTTACATTTCCACCAGCCATGTATGAGAAATCCTGCTTCCCTACACCTTTACTAATACGTGGTATCCTTTTATTTTTTAATGTTTACAATTCCTGGGGTATATAGTCATACTTTATTATGTTTTAGTTTTTATTTTCCTGTTGAGTAATGTGATGATGAGCATCCACTCATATTCTTTTTAAGATTTATTTATTTCAGAGAGAGAGCATGCATGTGGGCGGGGGGAGGGGCAGAAGGAGAGGGAGAGGAGCAGACTCCCTGCTGAGCATGGAGCCTGAGATCATGACCTGAGCCCAAATCAAGAGTTGGATGCTTAACCGACTGAGCCACCCAGGGGCTCTGAGTATCCACTCATATTCTTGTCATTTGGATATGCCATTTTGCTAAGTACCTAATTAAAAGCTGCTTGTTTATGTATTTTTTAAAAATCAGATTCTCTTACTGATTTGTAGAAGTCTTTTATATACTCTAGCTATGGGTCCTTTGTTGGTTTATCAATGTCCTTTGATGTAGTAGTAAATTCACTTTGGCACATTCATTTTAATGTTTGTGAATCAAAAATTGGGAACAACCAGGCGCCTGGGTGGCTCAGTCATTAAGCGTCTGCCTTTGGCTCAGGTCATGATCCTAGGGTCCTGGGATCGAGCCCCGCATCGGGCTCCCTGCTCCGTGGGAAGCCTGCTTCTCCCTCTCCCACTCCCCCTGCTTGTGTTCCCTCTCTCGCTGTGTCTGTCAAATAAATAAAATCTTAAAAAAAAAAATTGGGAATAACCAAAATATTCGATCACAGAGTATTTTTAAGACATATAATATCATCGATTGCAAGAAACTATTACTTAGGTAAAGTTTATAAAGACTGTAGTAAGAAATAAAATTAAATATTTAATGAGATAATGTTAAGGGAAAGAAGTAGGATACAAATGTACATGTCCACTAGGATTATAACTTTGAAGTAAAAGGCTGGATAAAAATATCCAACAATGGTATCAAGTCCTTGTACGAGGATGAAAAGATAAGGGGAATTTAAATTTTTTTTCATGTATTACCAAAATTTCTATAATATTATTCTTATTCTTAAAAAGAAATCCATATTTGAAAAATAAAAATGCCACAAAATACACTAGAATAGTTTTCAAGTAGGTAACAATGTGTAGCACAAATTAAGCTCTCAAAAGCCCATACTGGCCAAATTACTCATAAATGTAGAATTCAACCAAATGTATTTTTTTTCACAAAAATTATATCTAACTGAAGTCCTGTTTCTTTTTCCACTTAAATATCAAGGACATATTCCTCCAGTGGCCACATATCACTATTTAATGTTAAAAACAAAAATTCAATTTTTTTTTACCCCATTTCTAAAATATTTTGAATTATTTTAAAAGAATAAAGATCATTTTTTCTAGGCATTATCTCCACAAAGTAGTATCTGAACTTATGGAGATTACTGAGTTTGTGTTTGCACTAGACAGTTATGTTTTGATTTTTTTTTCTAATTAAATTACATCATTGTAATTGAAAGCTAGCCTTGACAAGTATTTCCATATTGTTTAAATTTTTGTTTCTTAAAAACAGTTCTCTAAAAAAATGGTATAAAGGACATTATTGAGTCAAATGATGGAAGTGGAATATGGATGGCAGATTAAGTATCATGAAGTTTACTGAAAATGATAAGTGTCCCATGGTTATGTAACAGACTATCTTCATTCTGAGCAAATATGCAATTTACTCTCAAAGTGTTCAGGAGAAACAAATTGTGTATATATACAATGGGACAGCGGATAATAAAGCAAAATGGGGCAAAATGTTAATGACAGGTGAATCTGGGTAAATGGCCTATGAGTATGCTATTTTTATTCATGAGAGTTTTCTCTAAGTTTGACATTATTTCCAAAAATTTGTTTAAAACAAATTCATATATTTTAAAACTCTGAGCTCATTAACTTTTTCAAATTTTCAAATACATTATTTGGTGTGGGGGGAAAAAAAAGGTCTCCAAACAGTAAAGTTTTAACAAATACACACACACACACAAGTATACATTCTTTAAAATAGCATTGAAAAGACTCTTAGAAGCTTTAGCTAGTAGTTTTTACACTGCTCTGTATATCCACGGAGATAATCCTGGGTGGCTTGGGCAGATGTTGAGGCCCTCAAGGGAAAGTGAGGGGAGGTGCTGACTACAGCAGAGCAGCTTTGCTTTTGTGTGTTTGTGTACAGGGGTGTGTAAGATTTTATGTGAAAAAAGTTGTTGATAGAAGAAATCTGAAAACTAGCAATCTAAATACTTGATAACATTTTCACATTTCCACTAACTGGTCAACCAACTTATGCTTAAAAACATGTAGTGACAGGGAATCATGATCTCCTGAGGCCGCCCATAACTTTGGGCAGTTATTAACTATTAGATTTCAGTTAACAATGAGAAACAAACTTTTCTATACCTTCCACTCCTTGATCCTAATTACTTCTTAAGATCATACAGAACAAAACTAATCTCCCTTCCACATGACAATTCTTCAGATTCTAAGACTGGTATTTCACTTTTCTACATTTTCTCTTTCCCATACCATCTTAAACACTTTCCATTTAATACACTTACACCCAGAATTAAATGTAACATACCCAGGGCAGTCTTTATTCTGTTGGAGGAAGGTGAAGAATGCCCTCTTCCCCGTCACAGTTGCTATATGTTCAAATCCTTTACTTTCCATTAGGTCCCAGCTCAAATGTCACCTTGAACATTTCACAGTATTTTATCTGGGCTGCTCAGGTGGGGGGTGGGTGGGAAGGTGGGCAGGCAATGTGGTCAGTGACATGAGCTGAGGCTTTAAAATAAGATTAAGGTTGGGGCGCCTGGGTGGCTCAGTCGTTAAGCATCTGCCTTCGGCTCAGGTCATGATCCCAGAGTCCTGGGATCGAGCCCCACATCGGGCTCCCTCCTCTGCGGGGAGCCTGCTTCTCCCTCACCCTCTGCTTGCCTCTCTGCCTACTTGTGCTCTCCCTCTCTCTCTGTCAAATAAATAAAGAAAATCTTAAAAAAAAAAAATAAGATTAAGGTTCAAATCCTAGTTCTAATTCAAGGTATTACTATGAACAAATATCTGAGACTCAGTCTCTTCATCTGTAAAATGAAGCTATCACCCATTTTTTAATAGAGCTGCTAGAACTAAGATGACATAGGAACAAGACCTAACAGAGTACCAAGTACTTAGCAGGAATTAAATAAGTGTTCCTTGTCTTCCCCCACTTCTCACTTCCTATTTTAAATAACATTTTTTTTTTCCTTTTTAATGTAGGCTTCACACCTAGCGTGGAGCCCATGTGGGGCTTGAACTCATGACCCTGAGGTCAAGACCTGAGCGGAGATCAAGAGTTGGAGCTTAACTGACTGAGCCACCCAGGCGCCCTTTAAATAACAATTTATGTACATCTTATTTCCTTTTAGATTACATGCTTCTTGAAGACGGAATCATGCTGGTTTCCCTCTTCTCCCTCTTATTTCTTACAGCTTCCCTCCTTCATAATTCCCAGTGCTAAAATTTAATGGGGTTGGTAATATGAACGCGACATGTCTCCTCACTTCTCAATCACCTTGCTTACAATCTCTCTCAATTTCCTTAAAGGTCAACATATAATTGGTTTACTGATTTAACTGTATGAATATATGACATTCTCATCAACAAACAGAATGATAAAAGAGAGTACCACAATAAAAGTAAGATTTAACAAACTCTCACCAAAGCCTCTAAAAGGTCTCTCCTTATGTCTTATGTTGGATAAAACTCAATTCTAAATCATGGTAAGATGAAAATCTATCCTACTGAACTTTTTTTAAGGATTTTTTTTTTTTTAATTTTAAGTATAATCTACACCCCAATGTGGGGCTTGAATTCATGACTCCAAGATCAAGACTCACATGCTCTACTGAGCCAGCCAGGTGCCCCATATTCACTGAACTTTGAATCCTTAAAGAGATTACTGCTCTTAACTTTGGCAGATTACAAATAACTAGTTCATATAATGAATGTTAATCTAATTTTAAAATCATTGTTAAAGCAAAGCCACACTACTAGATTTTTGCCAAAAGAAAATAATTTTTTTCCTCTTAGAAGGAACCAATTTGCACAATGCATTTATGCCTGTTCATCTCTGCAGGGTCAATGTATATTCACAAACCTGAAAAATGGCTGGCTGGACCACGAGAACAAAAACCTGACCACTGAACAGAGAGGAATAAACTAATAAAAATAAAAATAATAATCTGGGTCTTATTACATGTATGTGTATCCTACAATTAATAATGACTGTCAATCCCTGTTAGAATGTTCATAAACATAAAGGTATATTCTTTCATCTTATTATTATAAAGAAGAAATGGTCAATCCTAGTTTCTATAAATCAGAAGTAAATCTATTTTTTCCCAAATTGTTTTTTGGTAATTACTTCTTTTGCATCTTCTGGAAACAAAGATTTAGAACAAAAGTACATTAACCTATAAATAAATCAAGAAGTTTTTTAACTCTAGAAATTATTACCTGTTTGCCTTTACTAACTTCGTTTGCACAAGTGGAAAGTTCTTCAAGAATCACTCTGCAGTGTGTTATTAAACTTGTAGTCTGTGAGGTCGACAAGGGATCCCAAATGAATTCTACAAAGTCTGAAACAAAAGTTTCAGTAGTGTACAATTTACTTACTAGATTGCTTTGCTTTTCATGTATAAACAATCGAGGCCTTTAGCAAAGGCTTCCATCCTATGAGATTTAAAATCCATGCCAATCATTACCATTATGTATTTGCATACATCCTCAATTTCCTTGTCCTTTTTGGGCTCTGTTGAACTTGTCTAACTCAACCACAGCTCTAGTTAAATCCACCTGTCACCGAGTCTGTGCTCCAACCATATGGCTAAAACATGGCTGGAAAAAATACACTTTAAATTTATCACTGTGAAACTCCAGTGAGCCCTTCATGCTGCCTAGCAATCATGTTTTCCTGGCCCATTCCCCCTCCCTCTCATCCAGATGATCATTTCCTGTCCTTTTCTTCCTCCTTGCTTTCTCAGTTAATGGACTTGACTCTTCTAGACACTATTTACCTTTTATTGTCTCTTCCCTTGCTCTCACCCTCATGCTAATATTTCCTCAACTGATGAGAAAACAGAAGAAAAGTTCTATAAGCAACTACTGCAGAATCTACACACCTACCTACAACTATGCCCACATACTCTTGTCTTCCATTCTTTTTTATTTTATTTTATTTTATTTATTTGACAGAGAGAGAGGCAGCGAGAGAGGGAACACAAGCAAGGGGAGTGTGAGAGGGAGAAGCAGGCTTCCCGCGGAGCAGGGAGCCCGACGCGGGGCTCGATCCCAGGACCCCGGGATCAGGACCTGAGCCGAAGGCAGACCCTTAACGACTGAGCCACCCAGGCGCCCTGCTTGTCTTCCATTCTTATGGATGAAGCACTCAAGCTCCTCACCTTGTGCAAAAGGTCTCAATCCCTTTGGCTTACTGGAAGATCCTGTTCCCAGAATTCTGCCCTCTTAACTTCGGTATTGCCATCACTTCTACTGGATCTTTCCCAACAGCCTACAATTAGTCTCTTATACTGAAAATAATCCCTCCCTTGACCCTTCTTTCCCTCTAGTACTGCCTTATTTCTTTCCTTCACTTTACAACAAAATTCAAAAAACTGTTGAAACTATCTCTGATTTCTTTCCTATTAACTCTTGAATTCATTTCAATTAGGCCTTATCTCCAACCATTCTACCTAAACTATTCTTACCATTGCAGATGACCTTCACATTGCAAAACCTAATGGTTGATTCTAGTCCCCATCTGATTTATCAGCAACAATTGGAACAGTTGATCATTCCCCTTACAAACATTTCTTTTCTTGGCATCCAGGATAGCATTCCTGGTTTCCCACCTATCTCTGTGGTCTCCTTTGCTGGCTGCCTATCATCTCCTTGATTCATAAATGCTGGAGTACCTCAGGACTCAAGTCACTTACCTTCTCTTTCCTGTCTACATTTATACCCTTAGTATTTAAGGTCAGTCTTGTGGCTCTAAATGTCATTTATGTGCTGATAAATTCCAAATTTATGTCTGCTACTTGGCCCTCTCTTTTAGACTCATATATTCAACAACCTAGTTGACATCTCTACTTGGATGACAGGCATTGCAAACTCAACATTTGTCAAACTGAGCTCCTGATAACACCCCCTTACCCTAACCATGCTCCTTTCAGTCTCATTCACTTCAGGAAATGGCAACTCTGTCCTTCCAAATGCTCAGGCCCAAACCCATGCAGTCACTCTTGATTCCTCTCTCTCTTGCTCCAAACAACGAGTCCATTAGAAAATTCTGTTAGTGCTATGTTTAAAATGTATGCAGAATTCAACCACTTTTCAGCACTTCCACTTTTAACACCCTAGCCCAAGCCAGTATCATCTGTTGCTTGGATTACTGCAAAGTCTTCCTAAGTGGTTTGCCTACAGTTCATTCTCAACACAGTAACCACAGTGATTCTGCTAAAATGTTAGGCAGACCAATTACTTCTCACTCTCTGACTTACAATAAAAAGTGAAGTCCTTACGAATGATTATAAGGATCCATATAATGTAGCCCCTGTCACTTTTTTTTAAGATTTTTATTTTGGAGAGAGGGAGCGAGAGAGAGAGAGAAAATCTCAAGCAGACTCCACACTGAGTGTAGAACCCAATGCAGAGCTCAATCCCATGACCCTGATACTATATCGTGAGCTGAAACCAAGAGTTGGACACTTAACTGACTGAGCCACCCAGGTGACCGAGCTCTTACCATCTTGTTAACCAATTCCTGTTCTCTGCCCATCCTCATTCCACTATAGCTACAATGGCCTATGTGCTGTTTTTCAAGCAAATCAGGCTGGCTCCTGCCTTGCTGTTTCCACTGCATTGGATTCTGTTTCCCCAGATATTCTTATGGCCCATTTCTTCCTTTCAGAATCTACTCAATTGTAACCTTCTCAGGAATGCCTTTTCTGGCCATTCCATTTTAAATTGCACTCCTCTTTGATTATCTGTATCCCTTTCTCTTACTTTTTCATCTCAGCCCTCATAACTAACATTTTCTAGATTTTATTTATTATCTTTTTCACAGAATGTAAGCTCCAGGAGGGAAGGGATTATTATTTTGTTCACTACTGTATATGCTGAGTCAACAAAAGTGCCTGACACAGGGTAGACCCTTGTAAAATACAAGTTAAATAATAGAAAAAATGAAATAGGTTTAAAAAAAAAAAAAGACAACAGTGATTTCTCAAGCATCTAGAAGGTTAGGTTTCTTTTCTTTTTTTTAAAGATTTTATTTATTTGAAAGAGAGAGCATGAGAGAACACAAGCAGGGGGAATGGCAGAGGGAGAGGGAGAAGCAGGCTCCCTGCTTAGCAGGGCTCGATCCCAGACCTCAGGATCATGACCTGAGCTGAAGGCAGACGCTTAACCGACTGAGCCACCCAGGAGCCCCTAGAAGGTTTTTAATAACCTTAGAAATATTTGGTCAACTAATACTGAGAGCCTACTATGTGCCTAGTGTTCAATACAAGAGACAGAGCAATGAATAAGATTAGGTAGGTAGCTGCCTTTGAACAACTTTGTCTAAGGGCAAATACATTTATATAAGCAATTATAATTCAGTGTGTTGGTGTTACCAGAAGTATGAGTTCAGAGTGCTACAGGAACCCAGAGAGGTATGCGTGAACCAGTTCCTAAAAGTGATGTCTATACTGAGTCCTGAAAGATGAAGAGGAATTAGCCAGGCAGAAGAGGTGGGGCTAGGAGGTTTGTCAAACGGATGGAACATAGAAGATACAAAGGCTTAGGAAGAATATAGCTGAAATGCGGAAATGAGGAAAAGAAGAAATAGAGCTTAGCAAGAGATGGGGCTGGAGAATTACTAAGCAGAGAGTGATTCTGAAAGGCCAAGAAAGCCATGTTAAAGAGTTTAGGCTTCATCCCAAGGACAGTTAAGAATAATGAAAGGGTTTTAAGTGAGGTATGATAGTATCAGACTCACATTTTAGACGAATTACTTTGGTTGTAGTATAGAAAATACATTAGAAAATGGGAAAAAAACAAACAAACCCAAACCAGATGTGGCCATTGCTTATATAAGTAAGAAAGATGGAGGAGTGAATGACTCGAAAATCCTGGTTTGAATACATGGGTAGATGGAGATGTCACTTTCTAGATAAAGAATATAAGAGGAGCAGATCTGCAGCAAAGATGGTAAGTATGATGACACTTGTGGACTGCGAGGTGCCTGTTGGACATCCAAGTGGATGTACTTGGAAGGTACTTTGATAAGAGAGATCTGGACTTCCTCTGGTACTTTTGGATTTAAAATTATGTAGAGCAGCACTATCTGAAGTAACTTTCTGAATGATGGAAAACACACATTATATCTGTACTATCTAATAGCCATGAGCTACATATGTATGACTATTAAGTATTTAAAATGTCATTAGTATGACTGAGCAATTGAATTTTAATTTTACTTAGTTGAAAATTTTAATAATCACATTTAGCTAGTGGTTACTACACTGAACAACACAGATATAGACAGCACTAAAGGAGAGCATGAAATTACCCATGGGGCTCATGAAGAGTACAAGAGGGTCCAGGATAGACCTTGAGAATAAATATATAGTATTAATTTCTCATAATTCTACTTATTTGAGGGACTGTTTAATTTTAAGTGATGTATTTGGAGTTTTTAGAAGAGTACTTAAATGAGGCATACATGTTCTGTGCTATCATTAACAGAGCTGGGTAAAAGTAGTAACTTTCTTTTTTTTTTTTTAAAGATTTTATTTATTTATTTGAGACAGAGAGCATGAGAGGGAGGAGGGTCAGAGGGAGAAGCAGACTCCCTGCCGAGCAGGGAGCCCGATGCGGGACTCGATCCAGGGACTCCAGGATCATGACCTGAGCCGAAGGCAGTCGCTTAACCAACTGAGCCACCCAGGTGCCCAAGTAGTAACTTTCTAATAAAACCATGACTGTATTGCAAGATACACTGAGAAAAATCTTTAAAGTTTAGTTAGTTAAATTGGCTAACAAGTAATACAAAGGTGGTTGCTTCACGTTTTAAGAGTTTTGCAGTCTTTGCTATCAGAATCTGTTCTCAGGGACATGGTGAATCAGATCCTTATCAAGTACAATTTCAGATGAAACAAGTCCTCAGACTGAAGCACAAACAAGCATCAATGCTAAGTGTAGATGTGGGGAAGATGTAGTAAGGTTTTTTAAAGAAAGAAATGAAAAGAAACGGGGAGAAGTCAAGGGAAAGAAATCCTACTGTAGTAGGAATGAAAGTATGCCATTAATAAATGACTTAGGTGTTATAGAAGCAACACCAATGTCACAAATGCTAAAGGCTGAAGAATACTAGCAGTCTGGTAGCTGATCACTTGTGCAAAGAAGCACTTTTTAATCACCTTCAATTATGACATCTATTGATTTTTACTGCATTTTACATTTCCCTGTGTTCAGAAACTTCTGAAAAAAAAATCTGTGAATGTAATAGAAATTGATGATCTTAGACTCTGCCAGAGAATAATTTAATTTTACCAAGATTACAAAGCAGTAGTACCTGTAAGTCGAGGAATAAGTGTTTTGTTGATGACAGTAGACAAGATTTTATCAGAACTATCTTCCTTCTTTGAATCTTCCATACTGCTAGCCATAAATTCTTCTATAGATGTGAACCACGGCATCTGTTTTAAACCTATGGCATCAAACTTATAAATAAAATTATCAAAATTATCAATACATTCTTAAACATTATTTTAAAAGTTATATTTTTCAGTAATCACTGGAACTTTTCTGAGAATCAAAAAAGAACAGTTCCATATTTTAACCCCTTGTATTTAGCACTAGACCACCAAGACTAGGCAGGGTGACATGACTAAGATATGATGTCTAAACAGTATGACAAGAAACTACATTCTATCCATCATTCATACGACAAATACTCCAAAAATGCCCACTATGTTCAGAACCTACCACATTTTACTTTCATACATTTGTAAGAATAGCACTTAAAATAACCATGGAATTTGTTTATAAAAATTCATTTTCCTCATGCAAAATTCATTTCTGGTTCTCTCAATTCTCATAGGGACAAATGTGTATTTTACAGGTGGTTTAGCTTAACAGGCAAGTGGCAGATGGCCAATTATTATTTGTTGAATGAATGGACATATCAGCTTGAGTGGTTAACAACTAGGCTGCTGTCCAACCAACTACTAATTTTCTTAGAGATCAGCTTAGTTCCTGTACTATGAAGACTGCCTGGACCTGAACCTAACACAGCAACAGGCATGCATGACTAGGACAGAGAAAGATAAAAGGACATGTCTCTGTCTCCTTTATTCTGTTAAATCTTTACCTTTGGTTCTCCTCTATTCCTTCAATTTCATTTTCTCATTTGTTTCCTTACTAGACATATCCACATGGATATTCCACTATCAGTAAAACTTCCTTCAAAATCTTTTTCCCTCCTGGAAATCCCCATTCCTATTAATGGAACTACCACTGTTCTAAGAACCCAGAATCAAAACATCAGGGCCACCTTTCGATGTGATGATGTGTCAGAGTTATTCTCAGTATTTTACTAATTCTTCCTTTTACTTTAATTCCAATATAGTTAACATACAGTTGTGTTAGTTTCGGGTGTACAGTGTAGTGATTCAACACCCCATTCATCACCCAGTGCTCATCAGGACAAGTGCACAGCTTAATCCTCATTGCCTATTTCACCCATTTCCCCGTCCCCCTCCCCTCTGGTAACCATCAGTTTGTTCTCCATGGTTATGAGTCTGCTTCTTGGTGTTTCCCTCTCTCTAATCAACACTTTCTTTCTCTCTCCTTTGTCACTACCATTCTATGTGAGGAATTCACTACCTTAGACTTGGGGTTCAGCAGTAGCCTTTCAGTATTATATCCACCTCTTATCTCCCTTCCCTCCAAGTTAGCTTGCTGCTAGGGCTTCCTAAAACATTACTTTCATAATGCTACTCCTCCCATTATTTACCAAAATAAGTTCCTATCTCTTAATTTAGGATCTGAATCTCTATACAGTCTCTAGCTCCTGAACTACGATTTCTCCTTATGCACCTTTACAAAAAAGTTTGTCTCCTGTTTAAATCTTCAAGACCCTTCCAATCCTCATTTCAACTCCCCCTCCTCAATGCAGCTTTCCAAACCAAATTATTACCAATATATCATCTCCAACTTCAGAACTCTTGGTACCTATGCTGAATTTCCTCAAACAGACTAAAATTCTTAAAATACTACCTTTATGTTTTTAAATCATTTAAAAATATTAAACTTATCATAGAAGAAGCTATAAAACAAAAAAAAGTGTTTCCTTGACAGATATTTAGTGCTATTCAGGCTTAAAAATAAAGGGGGAACCAAAAATAAAAAAGATGAATGCAAACTATTACCCCAAAACACTAATTATCAAATCCAACTCTATGTATTTTAAAGCTAACCTGGTAACAAGGGCATTTAAATAATGAACATGACAGAATTATTTATTTTATATGTTAAGCTTAAATACCTTAAGAGGATTCCAATCAATCAACTGAACTCGGATTAGGGGATTTAAAAGCTTCGGTATCCACAAACTAATGAAAGCTTCATAATAAGAATCAGGATACTTTTCTCGCCATTGTTGAAATTTCAACAAAATATGCTGGATATTACAAAAATCATCATGTACATCTTCAAAAATCTTCTTATGATTCTGTGAAATGTCACCTGTAAACAAAATGAGTCTCTGTATATAATACATTTTAAGTTTGTGAACTTTGTTTCCTATAAACAGTCACGTACAAAGATGTATATAATCAACTGAGCTGAAAACTTTCCTTCAATATGAATAAATTAGTTTTTATTAAAAAAAATCACTTTAATAACAATATTGACACTAACAAATTCCACCACTTACTGAGTTCCTGCTATGTCAGCATCACAACTACAGCAGTTGTCACTACCCTATTTACAGACGAAAAACAAGCAAACAAGCAACATGAGATTCAGGGAGATCAATGGATCTGCCTAAGATCACACAGAATACAGCTTTTCTTCAAACCCATCTATTTGACTGTAAGGCCCACATTCTTTCAAATACACAATATTTTACCTTCTCATATCACTAAAAATTTTAAGTAACCTCTACCAACAATGTGGGGCTTGAACTCACAATCCTGAGATCAAGAGTTGCATGCTCTAGCGACTGAGCCAGCCAGGTACCCCTAAATTTAAGTTTTCAATTAAAAATGATGATATAGAAAGTATGTAGTAGAGAAACAAAATAAAAAATGTCCATGGTTCCTTTACAAAAGATGAGGAAGGCTGAGGGGAAAAAAACTATAAAGATGCAGAATACTCACAATGTTCCTCCATTTTATCCCATTTTTTCAGAGGAAGAAAAAGGTTTTTTTGTTTTGTTTTGTTTTGAGTAAACTCTAATCCCAAAGTGGGGGCTCAAACTCATGACCCCAAGATCAAGAGTCACATACTTTACTGACTGAGCCAGACAGGTGCCCCAAGAAAAGTCTAAAAAGGGGGAAAAAATGTGTTCCTTTTTTCCTAAATTTTCCCAACGATTTTATATAGCTTACGTATTTAAGGGGGGGGCAAGCACTGAGAAGCATTTCCTACCATTTCAATATTTCAAATTAAGACATATTAGAAACTTGGTAACTGACCTTGGGTTTTTTGGAAATCATTCATGTCTGCTGAAGACAGTTCATCATCACTAGATGTCCCTTCCTGATGATCACAATTCCCAGAAAGTGCCCTAGCTTGTCTTCTTCGTGACCTATGTTTTGCAATAAACCGAAAGCAAATTAAAAACGAACAGTTCCTGCTGAAAAGAAATGCTTTAACAAAAAGCTGGACTCATCAATGCCCAGAATACACACCACAGATTTTTATGCTAATATTTTTGGCATTTCAGCTTGGTTAATCTGAATTGGTGGTTCTCCCTCTTTTTCTTACAGAACATTCCCATGGGCTACCCAGACTTTAAAGAGGTGGTAACAATATAATAATGACTGGCTGTAGTTACAAGCAATTCCTAGACCAATAAATGCCATCTTACCCATTCCTTTTGACTGACCTAATACACCAGTGTGTCTTTAAACCCTGGGGGTGAGGACTGTTTAACTCAATTTTGGTTTTACATCATTCTCACAAATTAATGTTCAGTTATGGTTAATTATACCATACGGGTTAACTATATTTAAGTAGTGAAAAATACTTGCTCAATGATGCTTTAAGTCTTCACTTTATATAGCTACCTTCGAGATTCAATCTCTTCTAAAATCCATTGAGTTTTTTCATCTACAGCCAAGCTTTCATTTGTTGATGTCTCAGCTCTGCCTGTTAATGAATAAAATTGATTTCATTCTTAAAAGAAATAAAGAGAGACACTATTAAACCAAAATTGTATCTTGGGTGTATATACATATAGGTATATATAAATACACTTCATATGTTTAAATTGCATATTTCATCATGCATTGAAATTTCAATGTTAACTCCCTATCACAATATTAATAGGCATTGAGCTTGCTAGCCTGATACCTTGGCTGGTGAATACAGTTCAGCACTTGAGAATACTAACAAAAATCTACCAAGTTTCTTTTTCTCATATTCTTATTTAGTAGTTTTCACCAGTTTTTTTTCTGTCCCTGAATTGCTAGAATTATTTGCATTACCAATATGTAATTTATATTATTTTCTACTTTAGTATGTACCATAATTTATAACCAACTATAGGTCACGTGTTTGAGAGTCACTTTGCTTTAATCAGCTATTTGGTTATGATCTCATCTCTTTCACTATTCCCTGGACTGCACTTTAATCAACGGAAGGCATCTCTGAAAATACAAAACCAGTGAGAGAACTAAAAGGTAGCATCCAAATCTTATTTGAGATCTCACAGATGATTCTCTCCTGAAACCCACCAAAACATCTCTAACCTTCATAAATAATGTGGGAGGGCCATGAAATCTTTATTAAGTTAGATTTCTCACACAGCCTATAGGTTTATGTCAACTCGTCTCAAAACAGTCATTATCTGACCATATATCCTGTCTCAAAAACTAAATGATTAGAAGTTATAATTTTTATTTTTACTTTTGTCTTAGATGGAATTCAGAACATTTTGAAGCCCTAACTCTAAATATTTTGAAGTTTTTGAAAAGGGGTAAAAGGTTAGTGGGAAGATATGCAAAAAGCATTTTTTATACAGGCATAAAAATATTTTATTCTCCAGCTAATTGTCAGCTTAATGAATAATAAATTATATTGAACATGAAAAACACTAACGTGATAACTGCTGTAAATACGCTGATTCATGTTTTAATTCATCTTGCCTGCGTTTCACAAAGGTCATGGCTTGTTTTAAAAGGAGTGCATGCATGGATGATTCTATTTCTTGGATGCTGATAATCTGAAATACATATGTAAGTAACATTTTGCAGGTCATCAATAATGAATTACAAAAAGTAATACATTCTTATATAAAGAAACATTTTCAATACTACCACATTTTAATTAAAAAAATATTGTGAGATACAGATGTGGCTGCCAATGCTTTTAATATTGATAAAACCAGAAAATCAACTTACTGTACTAAAACAGCTATAAATATCATAAATAATGAAAGCAAATGGGCTGGAGTCAGGAATATGGATAAGAATGGATAGATAAGAAATAGGATTCTTTATTTGAGATATGAGAAGGAGAAAATGAGTGGTGCACCTATTTTTCACAAGCCGAGGGGGCAAACTGTAAGAGCACACTTGACGAAACTGATAAATTCGAAAAAATGGAGAATGGAAGAGACCTAACCAGACAGGTAGAAAAGCTGTGAAGCAGAAATGAATGATTATTTAAAATCGGTGTTCTTACATTTCTTGGGCAACAATTCCCCCCACTCCAATGATATTCCATAATAGTTGCCATGGGTACATCAGTGTGTAGGCCAAGAAATGTTAATAGTGTCATTCTTCAAGGATCAGTGAAGAAAGTTGTATTGCAATAAATACTTCAGAAAGTAACTACCAAGGGACAGTAAAAAGTAGTCAACTTGAAACAACAGGAGAGAAAAAATCCAATTGTTTGGTAACATTTTAAATGTAAATAAAAAGCAACGAAGAAAGTAGAGTGTATTTTTAAAAATAATTCATCTACTTAAAAGGAAAAAAATGTCAACTCAAGACCCTAATGTAAGGACTTAGTATGTATAAAACAAAAACAGAAATTATAAAGGGAAAGAATGATTCACAGATTTGATTAACACAAAAATTTCAAAACATCAGGATGTCAAAAAAAACACTGCAAATCAAAAGACGAACCGAAGTTTATCTACATCAAGTAGGATAAAATATTTAAAAATTTTAAGCAGTAAGAAATTTTCACCATATAAGGAAAAAAAGAAAGGAAAAGGAAAAATCCCCACTATGAACTAAAAAGATAACAGGGCAAAGAAGACAATTCGCAAGAAAAAAGACTACATGTGTTAATAAAACAAAGGGTTGTTTCAGATCAAAATAAATATGTAAAATGAAATCAGAAAGGAAGACAAACCATGACAGACTCTTAACCATAGGGAAAAAACTGAGGGTTGCTGAAGGGGGTGGGGGATGGGGGGTAACTGGCTGATGGACATTAAGGAAGGCACGTGATGTAATGAGCACTGGGTATAAGACTGATGAATCACTGAACTCTACCTCTGAAACTAATAATACACTATATGTTAATTGAATTTAAATTTTAAAAAAGGAAAAAAAAATGAGAAAAAAACAATATGTAAAAACAAAAACCATTTTTTAAATGAAATAAGCTAAAAAAAAAGCGATACAATCCTTCTGGTGAATAATTAAACAATGTTTCGTAAGTCTTAAAGATATTTAGACACTGACTTAATAATTCCCCTTCTAGGAATTTTTTTTTTTTAAAGATTTTATTTATTTGACAGAGAGAGAGAGAGAGAGAGCGTGCCACAAGCAGGGGGGGCGGCAGGAAGAGGCAGAGGGAGAAGCAGGCTCCCCGCAGAGCAGGGAGCCTGATGTGGGGCTCGGTCCCAGGACCCCAGGATCACGACCCAAGCCAAAGGCAGTTGCTTAACCAACTGAGCCACCCAGGTGCCCTCTAGGAATTTTTCTTAAACGGATGGAATTTTAACATAAAAATTTATATACAAAACTTTATAATATCAAAATAACTGCAAAAAACCTAACTGTCCAACATTAAGGGGGTACCTAATGTTGCAGTATGTCAAAAATGTCTAAGAAAACCCTAGAGGAAAGTATTTAGTTGTAGGATTTACTTTTAAGAAATCTCATGGTAAGGGGATTTTTTTTTTTTTTAAAGATTTTATTTTATTTATTTGAGAGAGAGAGAATGAAAGACAGAGAGCATGAGAGGGAGGAGGGTCAGAGGGAGAAGCAGACTCCCTGCTGAGCAGGGAGCCCGATGCGGGACTCGATCCTGGGACTCCAGGATCATGACGCGAGCCGAAGGCAGTCGCTTAACCAACTGAGCCACCCAGGCGCCCCATGGTAAGGGGATTTCTTTATAAAAAAGGAAATACTGTGTTTATAACCATGTTACCTTTTCATTAAGACAGTCAATTAAATTTTCCACATAAATTTTCATGCTTTTATAGAATTTAAAATTTAGAGCTTGATTTGATGACTTCTCTAGGTTCTGGATGGTACTCTTTGAACTCTTGACATCTTGTATATATTTTTCATATTCCCTCAGGTGTGAGCGGTGAGTATCCTGTAGCAATGTTAATCTATAAATAAACAAAATAAAGAAAAATGAAAACTAAAAACTGCTTTGTTTTTCCAACTTTTATTTCTACTACAGTAAATAGCAGTCTAATGAAATTTTTTCAAAGCTACCTTACAGAGACCACCAACGAAACTGACAATCCTATAAACCTGGGTTTATGAGACTTGCTGTGCAAAGGGGAGCGCCACAATGAAAAGAGGTCTCAAAGGAAAAAGTAGGAGAGGACACTTACAGGTTTTTAGGTTGTCGAGCTAATCAGAAGGTAATTTTAGAAAGTTAGTAAGTGTGGATTGATCAGAATTGGTTTCTAGAACAATCCTAGGTCTTATATTTGAAATTCGGGAATCCATTTGGAGTTACTGTTAGATCAGTCTGTGGTCTTTCTTGGAATATTTGAATAAGCTGGTATTAAAACCATCTGAGCATGTTATGATTTGGTATAATCTGTTCTGTGACTCAACGGTTTTATCTGTCATTAGAATTTGATATTCTTTGAGGCATATTTCATTTCCTGTTTTTGCTGTAGCCCCCATACGCTTCTCTATTGATAAGACAGCCTTTTTTTTCAACCCTTGTGAATATCACATATATTAACTGATGTAACATGAAAAAAGTGTCAAATATAATTCAATGTTTGTTTATTTTTTAAAACACAGTTCTCTCTCCATACACCTGCCAGTAGAGGAGTAAGAAACCTATTTCTTTAAAAATATCTGGAAGGTTATTTCCCACTAATATTCGACACTGTGAGTACATTATATTTAGAGAATTAACTACAAATGAAATAACAAGTTTGTAGTATGTGGTCTTGAACTGAACTTTTTTTCAAAAATTCAACTCCTCCAGCTAACGTGCTGTACACTGAAAAGTCATTAGTAAGTACTTGCTTAAACCAAATGTCATCTATCAAAGTTTCCCTGGAACACTGACATTTGTCTTTCAAAGTTTCTCCTTGCTTTATGTAAAGAATGGAGACAGTTAAGAAATAAGACAATAATGGACAGAAAACATTATGAATAAAATGCTTGAATTGACTGGAATATTATTGGCTATAGCAATAAGTTCGTAAATATGTATTACATGAAAAAAGCAAGGTAAGACCAGGGTATACAGTGTGCTTCATTTTTGTATAAAAAAATTGGGCAATACATAAGTATATATGTGCTTGTATAGATATACAGACTACTTCTGGAATGAAACATAGGAAACTGGGAGGAGTGGTTTCCTCTGGGTAGGGTGACTTCCTTTTCTCTGCATATCTTTTTGTATTGTTTGATTTTGCCTTTAGTATTTGGACCATGAAAACATATTTTCTTTTTAAAATAAAAAACCCGGTTAATAAAAAAAATAAAATAGGGGCAGCTCAGTCAGTTGGGCATCTCTTAATTTTGGCTCACGTCATGATCTCAGGGTCATGGGATCAAACCTTGCATCAGGTTCCATGCTCAGCATAGAGTCTGCTTGGGATTCTCTCTCTCCCTCTGCCCCTCCCCTTGCTCTTATGCCTTCTGTCTCTCAAAGAAATAAAATCTTAAAAAAAAAAAAAATACACTAAAGTTGAAAAAAACCTATCCAGATAAAGTGAAATGCTAATCTCTATCAGTGGTCTGCTACCTTCTTCCTATTCTATAATTCATGCAAGACAACGGTCTTCAACACAATTTCAAAAAAGCCAAAAAACCAAAAACCCCCAAGTCCTGAGTTATATGCAATTTTTTTTTTAATTTTTTTTTTTAAGATTTTATTTATTTATTTGACAGAGAGAGACATAGTGAGAGAGAGAGCACAAGCAGGGGGAGTGGGAGAGGGAGAAGCAGGCTTCCCGCTGAGCAGGGAGCCCGATGTGGGGCTTGATCCCAGGACCCTGGGATCATGCCCTGAGCCGAAGGCAGACGCTTAACGACTGAGCCACCCAGGCGCCCCTATATGCAATTTTTGATGCAGTAAGTATAATTCTAGCTCTTTTCTTCCAATTAAGGAAGGACTATCAGAAGGAGAGTAAATAATAGTGAGGTTATTACAAAAATAGTCTTGAATCAAGGCAATCATCACCATTTAATACCACTACTGAAAAACAATGACCTATAACACAGCTTGGCAAACTTTTCCTATAAAGGTCAAGAGAGTCACTATTTTAGGGTTTGGAGCTACATGGTTTCTATTGCTACTACTCAATTCTGTGATGTAGCACTAAAACAGCCAAAGACAATACATAAATGCGTAAGTATGGCTGTGTGCCAATAAAACTTTATTTACAAAAATACGCAGTGGGCTGGCAGTTTGCTAACTCCCCATAATATAGTCTAAAACTAAAACTAGTACATCTAAAAATTTTTATATTTCACTATACAATGCTATAAAATGTCCTTTTCTATGTCAAACCATTTAAATCAGCAACCATGACCAGTATCTCTTAACTGCAATATGATTACGGAATGAACCTACTTTAAAGCTGATTTATACAAAAGATGTGGGGGAAGAAAATTTGGAACCTATTACTGTGTATTAGAAAAAAAAATTCCTAAGTATTAAAAAAAAAAAAGCAATGAAAATGTTCTTTATGAACATCATCATTCCATTGTGTTTGGAAAAGATACTTGGTGTGACTTCAATCTTACATATGTTTAGACTTTTCTGTTACCTCACATTTGATCCTTCTTGAAGAGTATTCCATGTGTGCTTGAAAAGAATGTACATTCTGCTGCTGTTGGGTGGAATGTTCTGTATGTCTGGTTAGGTCCATTTTGTTCAAGATCACGGTTTCCTCATTGATTTTCTGTTTGGATGTTCTATCCATTATAGAAAGCGGAATACTGAAGTCTTGTACTATTATTGTATTGCTATTTCTCTCTTCAGCTGTCGATATTTGCTTTATATAGGTGCTGTAATGTTAGATGCAAATTTATAATTGTTTACGGCTATAATTCCTGATAAATTGATCTCTTTATATACCATAGTGTCATTCTCTGTCTCTCGTAATAGTTCTTAACTATGCCACTACTGCTCTTTAGTTTACTATTTGCATGGAATATATTTTTCAATCCTTTCACTTTCAGTCTATACGTATCCTTAAATCTAAATGAATCTCTTGCAGACAGCATGTAGCTGGATCCTAAATTTTTTATCCATTCAGCCACTCTATGTCTTTTGATTGTACAGTTTAATCTTTTTATATTTAAAGTAATATTAATACAGAAGGACTTGCTATTGCCATTTTGTAAATTGTTTTCTGTCTTTTTTTTTTTTTTTAAAGATTTTATTTATTTATTTGACAGAGAGAGACACAGCGAGAGAGGGAACACAAGCAGGGGGAGTGGGAGAGGGAGAAGCAGGCTTCCCGCGGAGCAGAGAGCCCGATATGGGACTCGATCCCAGGACCCTGGGACTATGACCCGAGCCGAAGGCAGTTGCTTAACAACTGAGTCACCCAGGCGCCCTGTTTTCTGTCTTGTAGTCATTTCTGCCTTTTATTCTCTTGCTACCTTAGTGTTCTGTTGATTCTTTATAGGGACATGCCCTCAGTCTTTTCTCATTTTCTTTTGTGTATCTTCTATAGGTTCTGTGCGCGCGCGCGTGTGTGTGTACACCATAGGGATTACAAAAAACATCTTACATTTCTAATCTATTCTGAGCTGGTAACAACTTCAATCACATACAAAAAACTGTACTTATTCCTTCATATGTCCTCCATTTTTTTTATTGTCACAAATTACATTTAAAAATTTTGTATTCAGTAACAGTGTTACAGTTTTTTGTATGTGTTTATTTTTTAAATTCTATACCTGAACTAAAAGTGATTTTCACATCACCCTTACAGTAGTACATGAGTATCTATTTGTCTACATATATATGTTTACCAGACAGCTTTATATTTTGTTTTCATATGCTTCATGTTATCGGCTGGCTTCCTTTCAACTGGAAGGACTTTTTTTTTTTTTAATATTTTATTTATTTATTTGAGAGAGAGAATGAGATAGAGAAAGAGCATGAGAGGGGGGAGGGTCGGAGGGAGAAAGAGACTCCCTACTGAGCAGGGAGCCCGATGCGGGACTCGATCCCGGGACTTCAGGATCATGACCTGAGCCGAAGGCAGTCGCTTAACCAACTGAGCCACCCAGGTGCCCCTTGAAGGACTTTTAATAGCAATTTTTGTAAGGCAGGTTAATGGTAATGAATACCCTCAGCTTTTATTTATCTGAGATCTTTATTTCTCCTTCATTTTTTGAAGGAGAATTTTATTGGTTATAAGTCTTGGCTGGGAGTTTCTTTCAGCACTTTGTATATACCATCCTACTCCTTCTGGCCTATAATGTTTCTGTTGAGAAATCTAATAATCTTATGAGGCTCCCTAGTATCTGATGAGGTGCTTTGTCTCGTTGCTTTCAAAATTCTCTTTCTGCCTTTTGAAAGTTCATGTGTCTCAGTGTGAGCTTCTCTGGGTTCAATCTTCTTGTAATCTTTTATGCTTGAAAGTGGATGTCCACTTCCTTCCTCAGATTGGTAAATTTTTGGCCATGATATCTTCAGATTAAGCTCCCTGCCCCACCCTCTTCTACTTGGATTTCCATTAATGTATATGTTGTTCTGCTTGACGTATCCTGTAAGTCCCTTAGGCTTTCTTCACTTTTTCTTTTTTGTTCCTCTGACTTGATAATTTCAAATGACCAGTCTTTGAGGTCACTGCTTCTTTCTTCTGCTTGATATCAAATAGGTTGCTGATCTCCTCTAGTGAAGTTTTCTTTTCTGTTCACTTACTGTATTGCTGAGCTCCAGAATCTCTGGTTCTTTTTTATAGTTTCTTTTTGTTGATATTTTCACTTTGTTCATGTATTGTTTCCCTGATTTTGTTTAGTTGTGTGTGTTCTCTTGTAGCACTTTCAGCTTCTATCAGATTATTCTGAATTGTTTTTCAAGTAATTCATAGATATGTTTCTTTAAGGTTGGTTCTGGAGATTTATTATGCTCCTTTGGTTGGGCCAGGTTTTCCTGTTTATGTCTCCTGTTATTTTTTGTTGTTGTCTTATGCATTTGAAAATGCACTTAAGGGAAATAGTTTCATACGGGGAAGGAACATCACCAGCCAGCCTGTCTAGAGACCTGGGGGGCAAGGGGAGGTCTCCTCAAATCTTTCATGGGGGATGTATCTTCTCTGGGCTTCTATATGAAATTTCCCTATTAGAGAGGGTGTTTCTTTTTTAAGGCATTCATAGTCTCTTGCTCCCTCTGCTGTTTGTCTGCAGTAGGCAGGCTTTCTGGCTCTGCAACAACTGAGCTTTTGCTCTTTGTGGTCCCCAGTAAACCAAGGTATGACAGTTCCCCATTACGGCTCTGAGACAGACGAGGTAGAAACAGTCCCTCAGGCAGTCCCTCCAAAAGCCAAAACATTGGAGTTCTGTTCCACTCTTTTTTTTTTCCCCTCTCAGTGGAGAAGCTGTGAGTTGGGCTTTTTCTCTCTCACAAGCAGTGCAGGCTTTCAGGAGTGGTTGATGCAGATGAAATGAAATGGCTTTGGTGACAGACATTAAGGAGGGCATGTGATGTAATGAGCACTAGGTATTATATAAGACTGATGAATCACTGACCTCTACCTCTGAGATTAATACATTATATGTTAATTGAATTTAAATTAAAAAAAAGAAATGAAATGGATTCTTACCCATTTCAGTGTGGCTATTCTTGGTTTTGAGCTAACTGGTTTCTGGAATTCTCAAAAAGGCTTTTTAGACTCTATATTAAGTTGGTATCTCTAAGGGGAAATGAAGTCTGGGGCTTCCTACTATGTTATCTTCCTGATATCACTCCCAACTTATTATTTTTTAAAAATTAAAGGCTATTTGGGGCGCCTGGGTGGCTCAGTCGTTAAGCGTCTGCCTTCGGCTCAGGTCATGATCCCAGGGTCCTGGGATTGAGCCCCGCATTGGGCTCCCTGCTCCGCAGGAAGCCTGCTTCTCCCTCTCCCACTCCCCCTGCTTGTGTTCCCTCTCTCACTGTGTCTCTCTCTGTCAAATAAATAAAATAAAATCTTTAAAAAAAAAAAAAAAATTAAAGGCTATTTAACAATGCAGATGAAGGCTTATAAAAATATTAAGAAAAAAGGCAGAATTTGATATTTATTGATTTTAACCATGTAGCATGTATCTATTATAAAGACTAAAAAGACACATACAGAAAAGAAAATCAGTTGTGCTAGTGTGGTAACAAAGGTGGTGCTATTTTTTTTCCTACAAATCTGTTTAATACTAATATTTGTACTTAATTAAGAAGAACACAGTGCTTTTTTTTCACTATTAAATGTCTAGGACAAATGTATTTTAAAATCAGTATTTACTTACCTAGTATTTAATTGCTTCTTTATAATTTCTAAATTTACTGGTGGTAATGAAATCGAAGTATCAAACTTCTTTACTGTTTGAAGTTCACTGCTGTAGGAAAGATCTAGGCCTGGTCCCTAAAAATATGAAAATTTGTATTGTTTTAAAAGACTCATTAATCTTATAAAGATGAATAACATGAAAGCAGACTGGGTATTCCAATGTCTCACCAGCTCAAAATTCCATGCCTTTGACGATTTTTATAGTTCCAATAAAATGTTTTTATAATTCTTAGTTTTAAGATACAGAACTTTAGGGGCACCGGGGTGGCTCAGTCAGTTAAGCGTCCGACTCTTGATTTCAGCACAGGTCATGAGGATTGAGCCCTACATTGGGCCACTGGGCTCAGGGCAGTGTCTGCTTACGATTTTCTCCCTCTGCCCTACTGCCCCCCACTACCCCCCACCTCCCGCTCACACTCTCTCAAAAATAACAAAATAACAAAATAAAAAATATATATATCTTTTGCATGCAAGAGGCAAATTACAAAATCTTACTTTTCACAAAAGCTTGCTTCTCAGTGTTTTTAAAGCTAGTTTTGTTTATGATCTAATGTACTCTCAGAAGATTATGTTTTCCATGATAGGAGTATCCACCTAACTCCTCTAGTCAAAGAAAAGTAAATGGAAGTCTTTTGGAGGGTTTTGGGATAAAGCTTTTAGTTCTGTTTAAGCTACTGTTGTTATCTGGGTTATCTATTACTAGTCGAGGACCATGTTCTAGTTAGTACACCTTATAACATTTCGTATTACTATCCTCTGACTAATCATAGCTTATCACCATCATACTTAGCATGTTGAAAGAGTTCTAAGAGTGTGTTTTAGATAAGGATATGCAAAGAAGTGGATAAGGATATGCAAAGAAGTGGACCAGATATTAAGCCAAATCACTGGCTTAACTATCCTTGTATTTACCACAAAGCATCATTTCTCATGCTAATTCTTAACCAATCCTCTCATCCGGCTCTAATCACTCCTGCAAATCCTCAAATTAGTCAGATTATTTCACATCTTATGTCTTTACATCCTGATATATTGTCTCAAATCCCTTACATTATAAACATCTTTCAAAGACCCATCCAAATATGATCAACTTTTGTAGAGGCTTTTCCAAACCTCCCTATCACCTATAAAACTGACCACTCCCTTGCTCCTATGTGCTATCTCAGGACCCGGTATAGGTTCTGTCAAAGTAAGATTTCACTACAATTACTTTGTTTAGCTGTCTCTCCCATATACAGATTGTACATTCTAGTGTTTATCATTATTAAGTGGTGTAGGGGCTGAATGGCGACCCCAAAAAGTAAGTCCATGTCCTAATCTCCCAAACCTGTGAATATTACTTTACGTGGCCAAAGATGTGATTAAGGATTTGGAGAGAAGGAGCTTATCCTGGATTATCCAGATGAGTCCTAAATGCAATACATATATCCTCATAAGAGAGGTAGAGGGAGTTCTGGGGCGCAAAAAAGGTGATGCGAATATGGAGCAGAGAGAGAGGTGGCTACATCCCAAGAGCTACCACAAGCTGGAAGAGTCAAGGAACAGATTATCCTCTAGAGCTTTTGGAAGGAGTGCAGACTTACTAACACCTGGATTTTCGACTTCTGACCTCCAGAAATGTGAGAAAATAAATTTTTTTTTTAAAGATTTTATTTATTTGAGAGAGAGAGAGAGCGCGAGAGAGAGACAGCAAGAGCAGGAACACAAGCAGGGGGAGTGGAAGAGGGAGAAGCAGGCTTCCCACTGAGCAAGGAGCCCGACGCGGGGCTTGATCCCAGGACTCTGGGATCATGACCTGAGCCGAAAGCAGATGCTTAACGACTGAGCCACCCAGGCGCCCCTAAATTTCTGTTGTTTTAAGCCACAACGTTTGTGGTTATTTGTTATAATAGTCACAGGAAACTAACACAGTAGCATGTGGTAGATCTTCAATAAAGGAACCTGTAAATATACTCACAGTTAATAATAAAAAATGTAAATCAAATAGCTTGAGATTCCATTTTTTGGTGCAACTAATCTTGCATCTAAGCTGGCAAGATTGTAATGAAACATTCCCATAATATCAATGGCATTACAGATTGTTCTAAATTTTCTTTAGAAAGCAATAGGGAGGGCGCCTGGGTGGCTCAGTTGGTTAAGCGACTGCCTTCGGCTCAGGTAATGATCCTGGAGTCCCGGGATCGAGTCCCGCATCGGGCTCCCTGCTCGGCAGGGAGTCTGCTTCTCCCTCTGACCCTCCTCCCTCTCATGCTCTCTATCTCTCATTCTCTCTCTCGCAAATAAATAAAATCTTAAAAAAAAAAAAAAAGAAAGAAAGCAATAGGGAAAAGTGTAGTAAATGCCATAAAAATGTTCATGTCCTTTATTGGTAACACCACACTTGGCCCCTATCCTAAGATAACATATGTCTGAACAAAAGAAAGAAAAGAAAAAAAGGCAAGCAAACATTTACCAATTCTTATTATTTCTTTTAAAGTTTTAAGTAATCTCCACACCCAACGTGGGGCTCAAACTCACAACCTTGAGATCAAGAGTCATATGCTCTACTCACTGTGCCAGCCAGGTGCCCCTTCTATTTCTTTTCTTTTTTTTTTTAAAGATTTTATTTATTTATTTGAGAGAGAGAATGAGAGAGAGAGCACATGAGAGGGGGGAGGGTCAGAGGGAGAAGCAGACTCCCCGCCGAGCAGGGAGCCCGATGCGGGACTCGATCCCGGGACTCCAGGATCATGACGCGAGCCGAAGGCAGTCACTTAACCAACTGAGCCACCCAGGCGCCCCTATTTCTTATTAATAATAGAAAAAAAGGGGCGCCTCAGTGGCTCAGTCGTTAAGCGTCTGCCTTTAGCTCTGGTCATGATCCCAGGGTCCTGGGATCGAGCCCCGCATCGGGCTCCCTGCTCAGCAGGAAGCCTACTTCTCCCTCTCCCACTCCCCCTGCTTGTGTTCCCTCTCTCGCTGTCTTTCTGTCAAATAAATAAATAAAATCTTAAAAAAAAAAAATAGAAAAAAAGATTCAGATTGTTAATAACTTAAAATGTTTGCCAAAAGGAAGAATGGCTAAAAAATTATGATTCACTGACTCTAATAAATATTATGCAATTAAAAAAATTAGTTATTATGATAACTATGTATAGAAATAGGGGAAAATATTTATAACAGGTCAAGCAAAAAAACCCAGAATTTGAAACTGTATGCATACTGTAGTTCCCAAACTACGTGCCAAGGCATCCCGGTGAACTCAAAGGAGTGCTATAAAATATTTTAAATATACATTTTAAATATAGGTATTTTAAATATTTTAGGGGAATACATATTCATCATTTGTTGGACTACTAGTTTTTACTAGTTCACAGTTGCAACATTAGATTGTGCTACAGTCCTCTGATAAAGTCTTATTAGTGAAGGTGGGTTCTTGGTGGACATAACGAAAAAAAAGCAGTGACTGAAAATCAATTTGGAAAGGAGGTGAGAATGACAGTGAATAATCTGATTCCAAGGTCTGCGATATCATGCAGTGCCCAAGAGGTGCATCCCATTAATAAGTAATTATGGTTATTTAAAAATGAAATAGATTTTTTTCTTAATTTATCTATGTGTTTTCCAAAAGCTACTAAGTTATTAGGACGTAAACATTATTAAATTCCTTGACCCTAAATACTCCATAAATAGAACGCTTTGGTACTTCTTTTGGCCTGGGGGAACCAGGATAAAGTTACTGACACTGAGGGCTCCATGAATGGGAAGTCTGGGAACTTCTAATATATACTATGACTGCAATTAAACAAATACTTAAAAAGGAATTATGCAAACTTGAGCAGTCAGAGTAAGGACTATGACGTTTTTTCTCAAAGTTATTTTTTTCATGCTGTTTAGCTATACTGACTTTACTAAAAAGAGGAGGGGGGTCCTACATCTATTATTTTTACATCATAAAAATAGCCCTCTAAACCATTTCTCTGGTCAGAGATTTCTAAATGTTGTTAAAACCAAAGGCTTATCTTTACTTAGCTTTTTTAGTTTTAATGACGTAGAGATCTTAACAATACTTTTCTTACCTAAAAGAGCATATAATCTTTCAAAGCATTCTTGTTAAACAGATTAAAAAAATAAGACCTTTATATTTGATTATATAATTTATAAGTGCTTCGATTTAAATTATGATTTTGAGCCTATAGCCAGCTACTCATGTAGTTAACATTATCTTCCCATTTTACTGATGAGAGAACAGATTTAGAAAATGAAATAATTTGGGGTGCCTGGGTGGAACAGTCAGATGAATGTCTGACTCCTGGTTTCATCTCAAGGTTGGGAGATCAAGCCCTATATCGGCCTCCATGCTCAGCCTGGAGTCAGCTTGAGATTCTCTCCCTCTCCCTTTCCAACCATCCCCAGCCCCTGCTCAGGCGTGTGTGTGCTCTAAAATAAATAAATAAATCTTAAAAAAAAAAAAAAAAAAAGATTAAATAATTTGCTCAAAGTTGCACAAATATTTATTGAGCACTCACAGTATTAGACACGGAGGGATAAACACTGAATAGTTAGTAATTCTTGACCTCATGAAGCATATATTTTAGTGGTACGGCCAGAACCCAAATCTAGGACTTTTGACCTCAAGAACAGTATTTTTTAATTAGTTTTGTTTTAAATCTATTTGTTTAAACTTTACATTTACACACCTATGTCACAGTTACTATAAAATTAAAGACAAAATATGGTCCCCTCAAGTGGCCTGTAAAATGTGGAAGGTGTTTAAAAGGAAAAGAACGTAAGGTATAGTACGTTGAACAGTGGCCTCACAAAAGTTATGTCTATGTCCTAACCCCCAGAACCTGTGAATATGACCTTATTTGGAAAAAGGGTCTTTGTGGTTTTAATTAAGTGAAATATCGCAAGATGAGAAATCTTGGATTATTCAGGTGGGCCCTAAGCCCACTGAGAAGTATTCTTATAAAATAAGACTACAGGCACAGAGAAGGCCATATACAGAAGGAGACAGAGAGAGGGGTTATGCAGTCACAAAGCAAGGAACACCTGGGGTGACCAGAATTTGGAAGGCAAGAAAAGATTCTCCCTTAGGGCTTTCAAAGGGAACACAGCCCTGCTAACACCCTGCTTTTGGACTTCTAGCCTCCACACCTGGAGAGAATAATGTGTCTTGTTTTAAGCCATCAAGTTTGTAATACTTTTTATAGCAGCCACAGAAAATTAATACAAATGGTATAAACAATTACTACCTCTGTGATTTTAACTGCTTTCCTCATTTGCTGCTGTTCCCAAATATCTTGATTTTCATCTTCCTGACTTTCTTCACTTGTTTCTTCATTTCTGGGTGCTAGGAATAAAAAAAAAATAAAATTCATGAATAGTCCATATTTTTCCATTCTAAAAGCATCAGCTAACATTTTTGGGGGGGCTTATGACTTGCTGGCTTAGCAGCTTTACACATGTTAACTTATTCTTCACCATAATTCTAGGAAGAAAGCACTATTATCACTCTTTTTTTTTATAATGAGGAAACTCCTATCAGGAGGTTAAATAATTTGTCTGAGGAATGTGCTGAAGCCGAGTCTTGAATCTGGGAATCTGTACTCATCACCAAACTGTCCCACTGAAAACACTACAGTTTCACACATGGGAAAAAAAAAACTTGGAAAAATGAAACATTTGGTATTCCTTATCAGAGATTATAAATTCTACCTTAGAATCTAAATATTGAGGGGCGCCTGGGTGGCTCGTCTGCCTTTGGCTCGCATCATGATCCCAGTGTCCTGGGATTGAGCCCCGCATCAGGCTCCCTGCTCAGTGGGAAGCCTGCCTCTCCCTCTTCCACTCCTCCTGCTTGTGTTCCCTCTCTTGCTGTGTCTCTGTCAAATAAATAAAATCTTAAAAAAAAAAAAAAAAAGAATCTAAATATTGAAAAATAATTTCTGGGTTATAAGGAAACCAAAAGTCTCATTCTGAAAAATTATTTCAAGTAACAAAAGTTTTGGTAAAACATATTGTTTATAAATGTGAAATGTAAAAATAGTCCTTTGAGACCTAAGGATTATCAGTAGAGGAAATATTTTATTAGAGCAGGGGAGATTTTAATGACAGCTAAAAATCCCTGTAGATGCTTCCATGTTAAAAAAATCTTCATAAAGGTGAGAATGAACATTTTCAATATCAAAAATAAGACTGTACAATTTTTTTTAATCTGTCAAAAAAGATCAAGTGGAGGTCAGATAATAGTAAATGTTATTACACATTATTTGATAATAATATTTTAACAGACATGTCTTTCAGAGACTATGATGTCATTGACCAAATTGGTATTAAATAAAAACCAACTTCTAACACTTTAAAGTATGAGACACTACATTATGTTTTTATGGAGATTTTAACATATTATATTCAAGTGAAAAATCCCTTAATATATTGTAAATAAATTAAGTAAGTACTTGTTTCTTCAGCCATTCTTTGTTTAAGGTTTTGAGGCTTTGGGGTAAATGGTATTCTCTTTTCATGGTCATCAGGCTCACTCTCAGAATCTTCATCACTGTTTTTCTTCATCCCAGTGATGGCAGAGGTATGTTTTACATCCAAAGAAATATAGTCATCTTGGGCCCTGGCCAACTCACGTTTTCTGCGGGCTGCCTGAATAAAAGCTGAATCAGGGATATTTACTGAAAGAAACAAAGAGGAAGACAATGAAAAACACCAACAGAAATACATATCCTCATTATTTAAATAAAATAAAAAAGCAGTGTCTTTCCAATTTTTTTCATATTCTGATACGAATGTAACTGCACAGCTCAAAATCTGCATAAGAAAATTACTTTTATAGATTAAATATAAATTAGAAAATGAACCTAATCTAGAAGTATCAGAAAATATACTGGTATCACTTCAATTTATCTTTTAGCTCTCTTATTCATCAGCTGTTGTTGCTGGCTTTTAGTTGAGGACTCTTTCTCATTTCTAGAAGCTCTGAGATTGTGAGGTTTGGGATGTCGAGACTGCTGAGCATGGAGCTGCTTAGTCAGTCAGAACTGTAGAGGTTAGAATGATGGGGGATAGGCCAGTCTGACTCACAAAGAGGGAGAGGATGCCCCTCCCCTTAAGGCATCCAGGCATATAGGGAGTGAGAAAGAGACTAAAACCAGCACACAGCTAAGTCAGCCTCCAAGGTCCTGTGGTGATTTCCACATGAATAAATATAAGAAGTTAAAAAGCGTAAAGAAAATAATCAGGTTCATTAACTAGGTGAAAAATATTTAAGTGACATCTTTTAGTACAGCCTTTAGTTTTTCTTTATAGAGTATAAACCATATTAATGGGTACTCTTCCAATTCAAAACAAGTTTCTTCATGCATGATCTGAGCTGAAACTGATCTTTACTTTCTGGAAAAAAAATAGTTTCTTAAGCAAAATACCAAGGTAAACAAAATGGTAAAAGAAATTTTCACTATTTCAAGCACTTCAAAATGTTAATTAGGGATGTTAAGTTACCAAGGCTCAGGTAAAAGGTTCTAAACTTAACCATAAACTGTTCCAAATTCTTTGAGAAATAAAAAGATGTCCTAATGCCTGGAGATGTGGAAATGTTCCAACTCTTGAAACAAAAAAAAAGAAATATAGAAATTATGGACCAATATGCTTGACATTGGTGCTAAGGAAAACAAGTGCTTGAATTATGAAACAGTAACAGGTGATCACTAAAAACCAACATAAGTTCACTAAGAACAAGGAATATCAGGGGTGTCTGGATGGCTCAATAGGCTAAATGGCCAACTCTTGGTTTCAGCTCAGGTCGTGATCTCAGGGTCATGATATTGAGCCTGCACTGGGCTCTGTGCTCAGCACAGAGTCTGCTTGAGATTCTCTCCTTTTCCCTCTCCCTCTCCCCACACCAGTGTGCGCTCTCAAATAAATAAATAAAATCTTAAAAAAAAAAAAATAAGGAATATCAAATCAAGTGACTTACTTTTTATAGACCAGTACTAATATATAGGTTAGTATCAGGGAAATGATGCAGGTCAGATGTTTCTTCATCCTCCCAAAGAATTTAACAGTTGCATGTTTTCCTTGTAGATAATGTTAAAATTTGTGGGGGAAAATCACATATTGCACAGGATTCTTAACTGGTTGAATAATTACTCCAAAAAAAAAAAAATGTTGATTATGAAGCATTGTAAGGATCTGCTAAGGGCTCTGTGGTTCGTCTTGCTTGGTTTAATGATCTTAATGTGATGTGAACGAAGATAAAAAGACATGTCCTTAAAGCTGGGACAGCTAAATATAACCTAAAGCAGAATTAAGACTCAAAACCTTCACAGCAGGTTACACTAGCATTTTTTTTTTTTTTAGGATTTTATTTATTTATTTGACAGAGAGAGACACAGCGAGAGGAAACACAAGCAGGGGGAGTGGGAAAGGGAGAAGCAGGCTTCCCGCTGAGCAGGGAACCTGATGCGGGGCTCGATCCCAGGACCCTGGGATCATGACCTGAGCCGAAGGCAGACGCTTAACAACTGAGCCACCCAGGTGCCCCAACACTAACATATCTTGATGCTTGTTGCACATTACAGTCACCTGGGAAGCTTGATAATCTACTGGTACCTAAGCCCCCCATCCCAGAGATTCAGATTCAGTTGATCTGAGGTGGAGCTGAGCAGCACTATGTTTTTATAGACCTCTAGGAAATTTTAATGTAAAATCAGGACTAAGATGATACACTTAGGTTCATATACTCAAGTGTATGAATACAAAAGCAGAAATACTGGAAGTGTAGGAAGTGTAAGTGATTCATCTGTAAATGACTTGATGGGGTTTAATAAATCACAGGCACCAGACTGACTAGTAAAGTAGTAATGCTACATAAAGCTAACAATAAAGAAAAAAGAGTTCAAGAGAAGAGTTATTATCCTGTCCTGTCTATACCCAACATTTAGCTCACGGCAGATACTGGCCAAACATGGAATGAATTAATAACGTTAGCATATTGCTTTATAATATAAACATGCATATTTACAAGCTAAATAATTTTCACATACATCATCTTATCTAAGGAGTACAGGTTAACATCATGCCCCATGTGTAACATGCTGTATCTGCAACATCTCAAGGCAGATATTCCACTACTGGATCATTCTAACAGTTCCACTGTTTGAACAAAAAACAAACGCACTCCTTCATCCACAAACCAATCCCCAAACTTCTCACATTCCTTCATCTTTTCTTCTCCAGAAGAAAGAAAAACAGGACAAATTTTCAACTTTCAGTGTTTCTGAAATGAGCTCTGGGGAGGGACAATTCTTCACTGTGTTGAACTGCCCTGTTCTCTGAGACATGTATCATTTCTTGCCTCCAGGGCACTACATGCCAGCAACACCTCTGTCATGACAATAATTAAAAACTACCCCACGCACTGGCAAACAATGTCTTCTCTCCTTAGATGTGCAATTCTGCCAACACTTTACAATTACTGGCTTATACTGTCTAATCCACCGTTTTCTAAAGCAGCACTGTACAATACAGTGACCGCTAGCCATATGTGACCATTTAAATTCAGCCAAATTAAAATTCCAGTTCCTTAGCTGCACTAGCCAGCCACATTTCAAGAGCTCTACAGCCACATGTGGCTAGGGGCTAATATACTGGACAATGAAGATATACAACTTTTATATCATCGCAGAAAGTTCTACTGGACAGCACTGTATCTCCAGTCTAGACAAGACAATCACTCATCTACCAGGCTTCAATTCTTAATACTGGTTTCATCATTAAGTATTTCTGTACCTCGTGAACTTGTATAAGAAAAAAATTACAAGAGCTACGGGTTCTTATTATTTAATTAGTTAATAAAGCACTTTCACTATATTACAAGTCTTTTTTTTTTTTTTTAAGATTTTATCTGAGAGAGAGGGATTCATGGGAAGGGGGGGAAGGGTAGAGGGAGAAGCAGACTCCCCGCTGAGCAGGGAGCCTGATGCAGGACTTGATCCCAGGACCGAAGGCAGACGCATGACTGACTGAGCCACCTAGGTGTCCTATTTCCAGTCTTTAAAAATGTATATAAACAATTACATTTCAATTTAATTTGTTTCTTTTATAAAGCTACATATTTTTATTTTCTCAGAAGGGGTCTCAGACTTCATGAGACTGACAAGAGTCCAAAGCACAAAACAAGTTACAAACCCCTGAGCTTGAGTAACAGGCCAGAGAAATACTTTCAGCTTTCACAAATTAGCTGTCACAACCTCTAAACTCTGTCACTGTAATGCAAAAGCAGCCACAGACAATATATAATTGAATGAGAATGGCTGTGTTTTAATAAAGATTTATTTGCAAAAGCATGGGATGGGTCACATTTGATCACAAGTGGTAATTTCCCAACCACTGAACTGGATTATCTAAAACACAAAAATGGTCATGCCATGTATTTGCATAAAATTCTCCCAAACTCTATACTGTCTGACTCCAGTTTGTCTGTTTTTGTTGTTCCTCCTTCTTAAACTCCAACCAAATATTTTCATTTCAACAACTATTTTTAGTTCTCTGCATATGCTATGTTAACTTCCCTAGAGTTTTACATTTGCTATATCCTATACCAGAATCATCCTCGGTAACAAATTCTTACCATCCGTCAGATACTGGCATGAATCACCCAGTACAGCACCGTGGTTAAGAACACAGGTTCTGGAGCAGACTGCCTGGGTCTGAATCCTAGCTCTGCCTTTTACAAGCTGTCTGACCTTGCACATGTCATGTAATGGAAAACAGCAGTTAATTTTGGCACTTTGACAATCATTGGTAATGACTTACTTGCTTCATACTTCACTATAGCTGTGTTATCAATAATAAGAATCATTGGTATAGAAAATACTGATATTAGAAATAAAGTTAATCAAAATTACAGAATTTACTAACCTATTGATGAAAATTCTTCTTCCAAAGAGCTAGAGTTGTTGGATGATGAACCCTGATCATCCTTACTTTCTGAGGAATGAGGTGTTTCACGCTCTTCATCTGTTGAAAGATCAACCACTCTGGATTCTAACAGGACATTTTTTGAATACAACAAGAAAGAGTCAAGATAGTGGAATTAATAACTGAAATTCTACACAACACATAGCATTATACATGTACAGTGTTTTAATTTTTCTCCATGTATTTAAAGTATACAGATCTTTCTCTGTCTCCCTTCTTTCTGAAACCAATGGATGATCTAATAAATGTATAGATCTACTTATCTAATAAAATATTCTCTTAAAAGATGCAATGAGAAAAGGGAAGGGAACAGTAGAGAAAAAAAGCATCAAAAAGTGAAGGAAAATTTAAAACAAAAAAGAAAAACAGTGGTAGTAAGTTCAAAATGAAAAAAAAACTGGATGTACACTTACTATATGCTAGGCACACTTAAATCTGTTTTGTAAGGTCTATTTCACACAATTACAGAACTTCACAATTCTATAAAGTAAATGCTATTATTGATGGGAATATTAGGGATTGGAGAAGCTAAATAACATGTCCAGTATCACAAAGTTACTAAGTGGAGAAGCAGGGCTTTCAATCTAATTTTATTTACCTCCGAAATTTAGACTCTATGTCATATTTCAATGGCTGGCGGCAAGTAGTACTGTAATGAGCACTGTGGTCTCCATTAAATAATGGATCTCTTTGTTTCCACTATGTGATTTTGGGAAGGAAAGTCTGTCCATAATCTATTAAGCAAAGATAACATTAAGAGATAACACCCTTGGGCGCCTGGGTGGCTCAGTTGGTTGAGCAACTGCCTTCGGCTCAGGTCATGATCCTGGAGTCCCGGGATCGAGTCCCGCATCGGGCTCCCTGCTCGGCAGGGAGTCTGCTTCTCCCTCTGACCCTCCCCCCTCTCATATGCTCTCTCTCTCATTCTCTCTGTCTCAAATAAATAAAAAATAAAATCTTTTAAAAAAGAGATAACACCCATAAGGGTGTTGTGAGAATTGAATGAACAAAATGTGAAAGAATTCATGGTATTATTGACAAGAAAGGACTGGCTAGTTTATAATTATTTTGAATTTTTTATGAACAACTTTAAAACTTAAGATTACATAAACAGTACTCTTTACCTTAAAAATGTCCCTTAATAGACCTATATAGAATTTTAAAAACCTGAAGATCAAAACTTAGAACACAAAGTAATATAACTACAGATTATATCTTTCTTTGCTACTAGTTATGACAACTCCTACCTGCTGTCAAAGTGGATTAATACCACAGCCGTGGTTCTCAAGAGCATCCGCCATCAACCCCTGGAAATCCCTAGGACCCTTTCACAGGGTATGTGAGTTCAAAACTACTTTCATCACAATATTGTTATTTGCCCTTTTCAGTCTGTTGCTATTTACATAATGAGGCAAAAGCAGTGGTTGGTAAAACCCCTGGCTTCTTCGTATGAATCAAGACAGTGACAGCCATTGTATTCATCACCATGCATTGCCAGGAAAAACAAAGTTGTACTTACCATCCTTAATGAAGCAATAAAAAGTTATTAACTTTATTAAATCTTGACCTTTGAGTACACATCTTTTAAATATTCTGTGGGACAAAATGGAGGTGTGTATAAAGCACTTCTGGGGCATACTGAAACACAATGGTTACCTCACTGAAAAGCATTTGTATGATGAGTTACAAGTGGAGCTAGCCACTGTCTTCAAGGAGCAACACTGTTTTACTTGAAAGAATGACTGACAAACTCTAGTTATTCCCACATGTATACCTGACAAATTTTCTCAAAAATGAGCAAAGTTGTGCCTATCACTTCAAGAATTTTGGAGAACTTACATCCTGCTCTGTGAACTTAATATCTTTCAGTCACTTAACGACCAATGATTATCAGAAGTAACGCAGTGACATTAACAGATTTTTTTTTTTTGGATATTATATAATAAAATGTACCAATATTTGCAAACTCAGTGAACCAATACTTTCCAATCTGTTGGAAACTTTCCAACATGTAACTTTCCAAATGTTATAAAAGATTCACTGAGGTGCAAAACAGACCAATGGATTTTAATGTAATGGAGTATAAAAAAACTGACAGGTATGGTTTCAGCTGCCATGTTGCAAACTACCTTTAAGAAGCTCCTATTTGTTGATCTTTGTTGTAATATCAAAGCAGAACACACTCAATGATCTAAAAAGGCTATCAGGTATTCCTATTACACCACATACATACCTGTGGTTTTCTTTTCATATTTCAAATGAAACAACGTATCACAAGAGACTGAATGTGGAAGCTGCTTTGAGAAGTCAGCTGTCTTCCATGAAGCCAGACATTAAAGATTTGCAAATAGAAAACAATGTCACTCTATTTTCTGGAAAAGTTTTTTTCCCCCCTACAAAAATGTTACTTATCCTTACATGTAATGGTTTAATTTAGAAAAAAGTGAATAAAAATTTATCTTAATATCTAACATGGTAAATATCAATAGATATAATACACAGAAACAAAAGCTCTCTGGGATACCCTTGTAAAGGGGATACTAAGACCAAGAAGTTTTGAGAACCACTCTTTTAGAATGCAAGCAAAAAGGCAATTCCTGGGGGCGCCTTGGTGGCTGAGTCGATTAAGTGGCTGCCTTAGGCTCAGGTCATGATTTCGGGGTCCTGGGATAGAGTCCGCATGGGGCTCCCTGCTGGGGGGGGGGGCCCTGCTTCTCCCTCTGCCCGCCCCCTCCCCCCCCGCTCGTGCTCTGTAATAAAATCTTAAAAAAAAAAGGGCAACTCCTGGCCTCACTTCTCCCCATTAAGGTTTGACCAGGTGACTTCCATAGAGTAGAAAAATATAAAAAGTCATCAAAGCTTTAGACAAACAGAAGGTCATAATTAAGAAATCACCAAAATCGTACTAAAAAGTGGGGGAGAAATTTTTTTTTTACCTGAATACTAACCGAAAACTGCATTTTTATTAAGCTCCAATTCAAACTAGAACACGTTTTATGTAAACAACTTTAGGCTGCTTAAATTCTGTATTTAAAAACGAAAGGTACTTCAAAACTATTACATTGTACTTAACGCCATTACTGGTACAGTCTACAGCGTCGTCAACCCATTGTGTTACTCAGGGACACAGAGCGTTATTCTAATCTCCGTTCTTGCAAATAACTGATGAAAAGCAAAACAAGCAAAAGAAAACGTCCCCTGTGTCTGTCACCTACATTCTTCTAATGTATTATTCTGGTTAAGTGTTTTCTAGAAAAATAACTGGAGCTGTTTCCAAAAGTACATAAAACTTTCCCCTACCTAAAAGTATCAGGAATTTTTTTTTAAACTTCTGTGACGATTCAGGTTCTTCACAAACGGCAAGTACGGCACTAAAGCTACAACTCATGAGAGTTCACCTGATGGTGCAAACACAGACGAGCCACAAACCGTACAGGATTCTTTCTGGTCTTCCCCCCTCACCCCCCACCACGGACTTGCGGGCTGCGGGCGAGTGCTCGAAGGCGGCTTCTTGTTTATTGTCGCCGCGACTGCTCTCGGTCAGCAGCGGGCCACAGGAACCTCCGCAGAACCCCGGGGGCCTCTTCCCCCATCGCACCTCGCTTCACCTCCGGCGGACCCCGCCCTGCCTCACCTGGGACGCGCGAGCCGCCTTCAGCGCGCGGAGCCGCTCCCGCGGCGCGCCGGGAACTTGCCCACACCCGGCCCCGGCCCCGGCCCCGAGGGCCCCGGCCCCGAGCACGCCCGGCCGCCACCTCCACGCGACCCCCTCCAGAGGGCGGCCCTTCCTCCCTAAGGCCCGGGGCCGCCTGCTCCTCCGGCGCCCCGGGTTCAGAAGACGGCTCTTCGGCGCCGTCGCTGTCACTAGAGTGGGCTCGGCGCTGCCGGAAAGTCCTCTTCGGCCTGTGAGCCATGGCCGAGGCCCCAGCGCCTCGCGCACGTCCTCTTCCGCCACACGCCAGACGAGTCTCCGGCGTCCACCCCGGGGCGCGCTCCCGCCTATACGGTCTTACGACCGTCTGCGCGCGCCCGTTTCGCGCGCCAACCGCGCCCCCTTCGCCCTGCGCATGCGTGCTCTGTCCCTTTCGTTCTGGTCTATGGAGTTGTGTTTCCCGGCTGGGGCTTGGAGATGCTAAGTGTTCTCTTTCCGAGGCCAGGTTGTGCAGGTGGCGATTCGTTGTGGAGAGAGTCCGGCAGACTCCTGGAGCTGAGTGCCACGGAGAGCATCACTGGTTCTCCTTGTGCAAACCCTATCTAGGAATCAGGCACTATACCTACATCCTAGACTGGAACCCGATCTGCTGTCTTCTACTTTCTGAAGAGAGTAATATTCTCTCCAACCAAGAATTAAACAAAAAATCAGAAGAGTGTGTGTGTTTGGGGAGATTGCTTCTGAAAGCTAAAGAGTAAAATCTACACATAAATGATCGATGCACAAGGAAGCAAAAACCAAATGATTGCTCTAGGCGGCCAGGTTTCAACAGAGCCTGGTTAAATGCTTTGGCCCATCAGAAAAAAGTGTATATGAGAAAAGGGGGTGTTGTTTAGAAAGACGTGCAGTGGTAAGAAGGACGGCAAAAACCGTGGGGAACTTGGACTGGATCCATTAAGCACTGCTGAGAGAGGAAGCCTTCACTTCACCATGGACTGAGTTCTTGGTCTCCTTGGTAAAGCGCATTCTTAACTTGGATGCCTCTGACCATATCCATCTGAAGCAAATAACCATTCCGTTCATTTAAATTCTCTTGCTGGTTTTGGCCCCATGCTCCACAAAGTTTCAGTTCGTGCTTTAAAGTTCAGGAAGACTTTCCAAGAGGTTCATAAAAAGAATTGTTTTAAGAGATCAATTTCCAGATGCTCACCTCCCTCTGTATGTAGCTGCCTGAAAACCCCTACATTCATGCAGCGCTCTGCCGATGTAGTCTTCTCTCCCCTTCTTACAAAGAAGAGACATAATTCGCTGTCCATCCTGAATGTACTACAGTACATACATCCACGTGTAAAAACTCCTGCATCTAAAATTTTATTGTCAGGTTGAGAATAAATACCTCTAAACTCAATAGTTCTGCTGGGAATTAGACCATTTCCAATATCTTGCTTTCAACAACAATGAAGAACCAACTCCTGCTTTCAGTTGATCACTCAAAATAATTTTTGAGTATGAATCACTGATTTTTGCAGAGTTCAGACAGAGTTCTAAGAATTGAACTAAGAATAGGGGTAAACACACCCCTTCATATGTGGAAAGTTTTCTCAGTGCCTATATAATGTAAAATAAAATTATAATAATGCAATTAACAATGAACACTATACCATTTTAGCAAGTAATAGCTGTCTTTGGATGTATGAACTAATGTGTGTGGGAAGACTGTCTTTGTCATTATGAGATGCATTCCCAACAAAAATGTTCTTTTGTCAAAAAAGTTGAGATTTATTTTGATGTATTTATGTTGTGTTGATCAAGTGTGTTGAAGCCCAGCCCCCTGAAGGCTACCAGGAGGACACTAAGTCAAAGTTCATTTAGCTTGTCTCAGGAAAGGAACACACAGACCAAAGAAACTATGGTGTTTCTTAGTAAGAGGGAGTTGAGTGGACCTTATTACAGGATTTGGGTTTGTGCTAGATATTTTTCTTTTCAAGTTTTTATTTAAATTCCGGTTAGTTAACATATAGTGTGATATTAGTTTCAGGTGTAGAATTTAGTGATTCAACACTTCCATAAAACAGTCAATGCTCATCACAAGTGTCCTCCTTAATCCCCATCACCTATTTCACCAACCCAGGGGGCTACCCACCTCCCCTCTGGTAACCATCAATTTGTTCTCTATAGTTAAGAGTCTGTTTCTTGGTTTGTCTCCCCTTTTATGTCCCCTATGTTTGTTTGTTTTGTTTCCTAAATCCCACTTCTGAGCGAAATCCTATGGTATTTGTCCTTCTCTGACTGACTTATTTTGCTTTGTACTAGGAGATTTTTAAGGAGAGCTAAGGGAAGCAGGGCCACATTTGGATTGCATAATGTCAAGAAGTTGGGACAGTTCAGCAGTTGGGTACCTTTGTAACTTTGTTCAAGAAGTGGGAGGAATAGGAGAAGACTCTGGGGTTGGAGTGTCATTAGTAAGAAGGGGGAGTCACTCAGAAGTAATTCTTGCAGTGGCAGTACGGTCTTGACTTCCAGCTGAGTTGATTTTCACTTTCTCATTATTAAAAATATGAAGACAACTCAATCCGGGATAAAAAAAAATAGAGCTTTGTAATCACAAGAAATTATATATATATAAAATTCACACACACATATATATAATGTATACACACCATACATACTTTTATAGGGAAGTATACATTGATCAGTAAAAGACTTTTAAGCATTAACTATATTTCGTTAGATGAAATGTTGTAGGTGATAAAAATATATATTTGAGGAGAAAAAGCAATGATGTCAAGGGTTTGTGCATTTTTTAAATGGATGATGAGTATTAAATAGGTTTGGTATTTAGATTACATTAGATACATTTAAATGAATGACAGAACACATCTATTTTTTTTTTTATGCTTTCTTTTTGCCTGGCACTCTTACACATATCACATGAAATTATGAATGTTAATGAATCAAAATGACTCCATGGTAGCTCCTCAATAAATGGTAATAGTTATTATTTTTTCTAGATCACAACCTTAAACCTTTTTTTAATGGCCACACTTTCTATTGTCTTCATTCCTATTTCCTTTTCTTTCTTCCCTAGTTTGAGGTTACATTATTCCTAGTTTTTTAGTGTTAGTCTAGAAATCTTAACATATGTATTTAACTTAAAAACTCCCTATGATCAGTATCTTTAACCTCTTCCCAAACAACACAAGGACCTTAGAACACTTGAACTCCAACTACTCACCTTCCAATTTATATGCTATTGTTACTGGGGATTTTAATTGTAGTTTCATTTTATCCCTGTAAGTTAGACATTGTTGTCTTTATTTTCTTTGACATCAGTATTCAGATTTAGCACCATGTTTACAATTTCCTTAACTCATCATTCCTTCTTGAATTTTAGACTTCTTTTAAGGTAATTTTTCTTCTTCTTGAACTATTTCCTTTAGAAATCACTATTGGTAGAAGCTTGTTTTTGTCTGCAAAGGCCTTTATTTACCCTCATTCTTGAAAGATTGTCACTGATGCTAGAATTCCGTATTAGCAGTTATCTTCTCAGTGCTTTGAAGATATTATTCCACTGTCTTCTGGCTCTTCTCATTGAGGTTGAGAAATCAGTTGTTAGTCTAAATGTCATTCCCTGGAAAGCAATTTACCTTCTGGGTTTACTCTAAAATAATTTACCCTTGGTGTTCTGTAGTTTCATTTTGATGTGTCTAGGGGTGAATTTTATTTATCCCTCTTGGGATTCATTAGGTATCATAAATATAATGATTGTATTTCATCAATTCTTGACCACCACTTATTCAAATATTGTCATATTCCTGTTTTCTCTATTATCTTCTCTTGGAACATTAATTAAAGGTACACCGGGATCTTTTTACTCTATTCTAGGGATGGGCAGACTATAACGTATGGTCCAAATCTGGCCTGCTGCCTGTTTTTGTAAAGGAAGTTTGATTAGCGTCCAGCCATACCCCTTCTTTTACATATCGACTACAGGCTGCTTCCACACTACAATAGCAGAGCTGAGTAGTTATGACAGAGACCATATGGGCCACAGGCCTAAAATATTTACTCTCTGGCTCTTTAAAGAAAAACTTTGTCAACCCCTGCTCTATTTTCCTGCCTGTACACCTCTTCCATATTTTCCATCTTCTTTTCCATCATCTATATAATTTCTCCAGAAATATCTTCCAGGGGGCACCTGGGTGGCTCAGTCGTCAAGCATCTGCCTTTGGCTTGGGTCATGATCCCAGAGTCCTGGGATCGAGCCCCGCATCGGGCTCCCTGCTCCCTGCTCCGCGGGAAGCCTGCTTCTCCCACTCCCACTCCCCCGCTTGCGTTCCCTCTCTCGCTGGGTCTCTCTGTCTCTCTTTCTAGCAAAGATCCAGGCTTCTCCAAGCGGGACTCTCCCTCCAGGTTTCCATGGACGGGGTAGGATGGGGGTGACCACCCACCGGTCTCCCCAGTGTGGCAACCACGCTAGAGATGCTGCCTCTGCCCTCTCGCCTTTCCAGCTACGGCCAGGGAGTGGGCTGGGTCTCCTCCCCCGGCCCTCCCAAAGGGAAGGACCTCTCAGGTTCCTGGAAGAAAATGGGTGCAGGGGAGCTGGACGGGTGTCTCTGGCCTTGCTCTCCTTAGAGGGATGGTTCCCCACGAAGTTCGTGCTCCCCCCCTCAACCCCCAGCTTTGGAACGTCTCAACAGCAGAGCTTTCTTAAGAAAATGCTTGTCATGGCAACAGCTCCAGCCAACTCCAGAACACATCTATTTTTTAATTTAAATTCAATTAGCCAACATATAGTACATCATTAATCTCAGGTGTAGTGTTCAACAATTTATCAGTTGCATATAACACCCAGTACTCATTACATCACATGCCCTCCTTAATGCCCATCACCCAGTTACCCCATCCCCCTACCCACCTCCCCTCCAGTAAACCTCAGTTTGTTTCCTATAGTTAAGAGTCTCTCATGATTTTTCTCCCTCTTTGATGACTTCCCATTCACTTTTCCTTCCCTTCTCCTATGCTTCTCTGTGCTTTTCTTATATTCCACGTATGAATGAAGCCATATGATAATTGTCTTTCTCTGACTTATTTCACTCAGCATAATACCCTCCAGTTCCATCCACATTGATGCAAATGGTAAATATTCATCCTTTCTGATGGCTGAATAATATTCCATTGTATATATATATACAGTATATATATATACATACCTCATCTTCTTTATCCATTCATCAGTCGATGGACATCTTGGCTCTTTCCACAGTTTGGCTATTGTGGACACCGTTGCTATGAACATTGGGGTGCAAGTGCCCCTTTGGATCACTGCATTTGT